TCAGCCAAAAAAAAAAAAATCATCATTATCTTACCTGAGAATTCATGTTAGGGAAACCAAAGGCAGCCATTGGATCCATGTTCGAAAACAAAGGATTTCCAATCTACAAAATAAGAGCTTTATTAAAAAAAGTAATTTTTAACCAATCAAACACCATTTGTATCTAATGGTCTTGTGCCTAATGGCGAGTATGAAGACTTACTGCTGCATTAGCCATAGGGTTGGGTGTTGGGAGAAGTCCTCCTCCTGGCAGAATTCCAGCAACAGCATTGGCTGGTGCCAACAGTGACAGAGCTTTTGCTTCATCTGGAATTGAGCCTGCAGCAAAATAAAAAATCCTGCATTAGTTGAAAGCAACTTTATGCAAGTAGACAACAGAGAGACATGTTTGAAAATGTCCTCACACTGTCATTTAGGGAAATAAAAAAAAAAGACAAGGCTCGGCACACGGGTTACCTTACAGATCAGAGAACAGTTCCCTTATCTCAACACAATCATTGCAGTGACATAACTATGGCTGGAATAAAAAAAAACACACTACTCCAATCAACACTGCCGAGAATAGATCACCTGAGTGTGTATTTTATCATGAACCAAACGTAAGCAAGCACAGCTGCTTCTCCAGTGCGGTGAGCCTTCAATTTTCATTTAGATGTTACTGAAACAAGCGACTCACGTTGGCGGCTTCACTACTAAAAGCAGAGAAAAATCGACATACACACAACAAAGAGAAATTTAGGGATTTGGCAGGAAAACTACACAAACTAACAGTGTCTACTTACCACAAACACATTTCAGATGATGAGGTGGTAACACACACTGACCACCATACTTGATTTTAAGTAGCAGTGTGGCTGTTGTACACCATCATTTTGATGTGCTTACCTGCCATCTTATGTGATGAATAATTTAATTTTGCACCCAATAATTACACCTTGTTTACCTTTTTGTGGTCTATAACATGTTTTAAATTAGAATCTGGTTAAAAAAAACGTTTCTTCACCTTTCAGTGAATCTTTTCCTCAAAAAACTCAAGATAAATACAGACATACAGGTATGAAAACATATAAAAAGAAGCACATTGGAGAGAGAGGGAGAAAAAGTGGGAGAGAGAGAGAGAGGGGGAGAGAGATTACTGCAGGAGACAAAACTGTTGGATGGTATTTTCAGCAGGGCCTGGTAAACAGGACTGGCTGAGCCAGGTAAAAGAACTGTAAAACACAACAACAGAAGAAGACCACTGTTAAAGAGATCATCGAACCAACATAATGTCATGTCGGATGGGTTTTCAAGACATGAGATGGAGGTTTACCTTAATGCAAACACACCTTTTACCATTGGTTCCCACAGTTAAGAAGAAATAAAAAGTTTTGGAAGGATTTTTCAAGTGGAATCACTTATCACAATGTATGATACAATACTGTTGTATTCTGATGGTTGTAAACTGCAACTCTACCCAAAGATAGCATTACACCTGCATGCCCTGAACCTCACACTCAAATCTATGAGTAAAACAAACAAGACTAGGATTTGGTAACATAAAATAAAAGGTGTTTAAACAGATTACTTTAATTCCTGTTCCTTGCTGGCTCTCAACTACTTATTCAGCTGCCATCAAAGTCTTCAAGTGCAGAAAAGTCAGTTTTAAAATAAGTCCTTGTTTTTTACCTTTATGCTGACAATAAAATAAATTAAAAGAGGGGACAAATAGACAAAACAAAAGAGAGGGGGTTTAAATGCTTGCTGGCCTTTGTAAATGTCTACTACCCCCTGTTGCCAGGCAGAGGACCACTCATCAACGAGGGAGCTGCTTTTGCCTCCTTCACTACAAAAACAACACACCTTCTCACACTCTCTCACACACACAGGCGCACACACACAAGACAAAGAGAAATTTAACAGAGGTTGAGACTGTTTAACTCCGAGTCTGAAAAGCTGATTTTGATACAAATCACTTGCAGAGGAAATTGCTGTTTTAATGACAGAGAGCTTATCAAAATACATAAAAAATAAACATGGCAAACAGCTTCTTGTTTATGCAGTGATTATTAGAGCTGTTATGGATGCCTTAAACAGCTTACACGCATAAACCAGTATGAGTGGATAATTACATTCCCAGAATTCATTTGATCTCATTCTTCTATAGTCTTGCCATTAAATCAGCAAAACCTCTAGCTTGTAAAATAAAAATAAAAATTTAGACCAACCTTCAGCAAATGGGACCACGATCAATGCTCTGTCCACAAACACAGTATTGGTAAGATGTTGAGACACTCCAACAGACTCGGGTTCCTGGAACTTCACAAAGCACACCCGTGATGTGACAGGCATCTGTGAATCACTGTTAAGAGAGTAAAAGAATTACATGAATACAAAAAATGACTTTACAAATAAAATAATGAGCAATGCAGTGTTGATTTGGTGTTTTTTGTTACTGTTTGTCAAATTACAACTGAATACAAAAAAATAACACATCTTAAAGTATTACCACGTCCAATAAACGTCTTAATAGTCAATAATAAATTATTTCCCTTAAATTACATAGCCCTATTATATAAAATACAGCACACCCACACCTGGTTTCGACACTCAACTGGATACAACTGAAGCAACTAAACATTGATAAGGAAAATGAATCTGGTATACACTGTATAGTAACCGCTAAGAAAAGCACGTCTCTGGTAACTGTTAGCTTACGTTAGCATAGCCCCGTCCCAACAATCGGCAATACAACACACATCACCACATTTCAAAACACCAAAGTAACCGAGCTAATTTGGGTAGGGTTGTAAATAACGTGTATGCAACACAGTATCTTGTGAACTTACTCTGGTGGGAATAATTTTAACTCTTCGATGGTTCCCAGGAAGCCGAAGAGTGTCCTCATCTGCTCAGACGTCGTGCTCGGCGACACATTCGTCACCTGCACCACTTTCGTAGTATAACTCATTTTCCCTGTTAAAATGCAACACTATTGATAGTAACACAACCTAAACCGATTTTACACACGCACGTTTGGTAAATTTTCAGAATCTCGCGGTTAACTCGCCGGTGAACGCATGTATTCAAACTACAACAAGAGACTGTTGCATTTCGACGCCATGTTGAATCGCTCTGGAGGTTGCGCATGCGCTATAGGGTATTGATGAAAGTTCGTTCTTTATTTTAAATTTCATTTATGTTTTTCCAGATATGTCGCGATTTTTACAAAAGTGAACAAAAAATTAAAAAAAATTTTTTTAGTTTATTAACAATAACTGTGACAATAACTGGTGTCATTACAATAACTTGACCTGCCATCTGTATCCAAAGGAGGGCGCCGTTCCTTTGTTTTCTGAATACAACGTTGGTGACGTTGCAATTCAATGAATTTAAGAGACATTAAAGCACCACGGTTTTACAGAACGTACTGTATATCATATTCTATTGTAAGTGTACAAGTGTTTTTGTTGTTTCTTGTTCTGCTTTTTACACTTTAAGTAAACGTGTTCAAAGGAGTACCCACAGTTATGTTCGCAGCGTGCTTGATCATGCCACAGGTGTACGGAGTTATTTCTAATTGGGGGCTCGGTCCGGATGAACGACCGAGACAGAAAGGTGAGAGAGGTTTAGATTTTTATTCTTTACTGTTGTCGTTTTTACTCAGTGAATTTAATGCAACTACATACCTTAGACATCACTTGAAGTGAAAGAACACTTTTTTAAAAAATATATATGTTTTGCTTTGCAGAAACTATTTTAGAAAGTTTGGAGATGTGTCACTATTGTACTGTTTTACTATTTTAGTGTTTAAGGTACAGCGTCAGTGTCTTCTACAGTAATTTCTAAAAGACATTGTTTTGTATTAAATGGACAATTATTTGACAAATGGTTTCCTTATCGCAAACCTTCAGTTACTTTTTTTCTTAATTAATTTATTTCACTTCTGGTTTATTTTTCAGAATGGTCACCCTGAAGATCTTCAACACAGTAAGGAGTGTCATTTTTCTTTTATTCTGTGTCGCTGCTGTGCTCTACCAGGCTGACGTGCATCGCTGCATGTGTGTTTGAATGTGGTATTAATAGCAATACAGTTCATTGGCTGGTAAATCTGGGTGTCAAAAGGCTGACGTCCAGTAATGGGTTCATTGCAATTGTGGCACTTCCTCTTGGTTGCATTCCCTATCTTTCTCTCCTGTCCTTTATGTACCAGTTGGACCATTAACTAATTAACATTAACTAACTCTTAGGAATAGTTTTACAACTTTAAATTAGAGTTCACTGGCAGGTTATATAACTGATATAATCCAAAATTTTTATATCCCGTTTGTGGTCATCTTCCAGCATTTTGGATGTCCAGGTCCTTTTCCACCAATTTGGATGTTACAGTTGCTGTCAAGAGTGACTACCTAAATTCTAGCTACATCAATCAACATAGATGTCCACAACTCTAAAAGGCATGTAAATTTCCTTGACCTTGTAATTTTGTATAGGCATACATGTACATTTTCTTGACTTTGTAATTTTGTCAATGTATACATGTAAAATTGCCTGACTTTGTACTGTTGTAAATGTGTATTCATGTGGTTGTCCCTTATTTTCATTGCTGAGGGGTAGCAACCCTAGTCACAAGCCACCGTCATTGACGAGACGTGAGTCTGGCAAAAAACAAGCTGCTGATGTTTTTCTTTCTTTTTACTAGAAGAAACAATACAGGGATTGTTTTCAGGCTATGTACAAATCTAATCTCTTAATTTGAGGATTAGACAGACTATAGACAAGCAAATTAAGATGTTATGCATTTACCTAATGACCACAACACATTTTATCCAGTTAATATTGTATAATCAAACACGTTGAATGGTCACAGATACTCTGATGTTTAAAACCATGTCTAGGATTTTGTTTTGTATAATTCTACATTTAATATAATGCAGAAAAGAGTCTTAAACATTTTATGACTAATTTATCTAAAACTTCATAGTTTCATACATTTTACAAGTTAATATTCTGGAGTTACTTACTTATGTAGTTGATATTTTGCTTATATAATCGTTAATTCTCCACTCAATGTGTCATCCAACATGTTGCAAATATCAGTTCATTAATCCATACAGCACTTACTCAGCATGACTCGGAGAAAAGAATCACATGTACTATTGCAACACATTTACTACGCATGTTTCCCTAGAGGAAATATTCTGGAGAATAAATCCAGGTTCAGAGTGGTGCAGGTCAGGTCTTTCTGTGGGATATTGGGCACAATGGGATTCTTGTTCATGGTGCAACATGATTGGCCAAGAGAGGGGTTTATGGAGCAGATTGGCATGACTGTGACGGGATCCAGACAAATAAATGCCCTCCAAAGCCCCCGGTGGATCAGAGACTTCAAGGTGGGAAGGGACAAAGGGAGTTTTCTGAGGAGCTGCTGTGTGTACTGCAACTACAAGAAAGAACCATGGTCAGCCGGTGAGTTTCTGATAAATACATTTTTAAAAATTAAACCTGTTTGTAATGCTGTTTGACTCTGTCTAGACAATTCTCCAACATTGTTGGTTGTGTCTGAAGCTAATGAGGCTCTTAATAAATAGAAGGTTCACACTGAACGTTGCAGCCTTGAACTGAATGAACTGGCATCTTGCTTTTTATACCACAAACTAACATTTTTACTCTCTGGGAGCAGATTTGAACATCCAGCAGGAGGCTACAAGAAGATATTTGAGACCTGTGAGGAACTGGCTGAGCCCATTCCAGCATCTGTGACGGGTTAGTTTGCATTTTTAAACATTGACATAGTTATTTAGGGGTTTATTTTTTATAATTATTACTTTACTTTTTTGTGCTTTGCAGGAAGAATCCCTGCTTTTTTAAGGGGAAGTCTTCTACGTTTGGGACCTGGACTTTTTGAGGTTGGAGATGAACCTTTCTATCACCTATTTGATGGTCAGGCCCTAATGCACAAATTTGACTTCAAGAATGGCCAGGTTACCTATTACAGGAAGTAAGATTTTTGTAGTAACCTATACATTTTGCTTTTAAACCCAATCATTTGCATAATATTTGCTATAAAAGATTCTGAAGGGAAAGTATTGTTGTATTGTATAAAACAATTTTCAAAGAAAAATGTCTTTTAAATTTTGTTTTCATAAACATTTCTAAAAAATTAAATGGTATGGGTTTTTTGTGTCATAGGGTTAATTCAAAGTTGTGGCTTTGATATCCATTAAGCATTTTATGGATATCAAAGAAAGAAAATTAAGCATTTTATGGATATCAAAGAAAAAAAAAACAAAAAACAACCCAACTATGCTAAAAGTTTCTGAATATAATAGATTTTTTTTAATTAATTTATATTTATTTTATTAATTAATTTTTCCTTTCCAATGCTTTTTCTGTCTTAGATACGTCAGAACAGATGCCTATGTAAGAGCCATCACAGAGAAACGCGTAGTGATCACTGAGTTTGGTACTTTTGCGTATCCTGATCCGTGCAAAAACATATTTTCAAGGTTAGTCACTGCAGAACTCAGATGGTTTAAGCCTGACCATCGTAGGATCTCATGTATGGATGTCAACTGTGTAACTTTTGCTTTTAGGTTTTTCTCATACTTCAAGGGGGTTGAAATCACAGACAACTGCCTGGTGAACGTCTACCCTGTGGGCGAGGATTTTTATGCTGTGACGGAAACCAACTACATCACTAAGGTGAACCCTGAGACCTTGGAGACACTGAAGAAGGTACGGAAAAATCGATATAGTTTTTTTGTTTGTTTGTTTGATCTTTGTAAACACAGTTTTTCCTTGCAGGTTGACATGTGTCACTACGTCAATGTCAATGGAGTGACGGCTCACCCTCACATTGAAAATGATGGCACTGTTTACAACATTGGAAATTGCATGGGGAAAGGAGCAACACTTGCCTATAACATTGTCAAGATTCCGCCCACACAGAAAGGTGGTCTCACTAAAATATAGTTCTGACAGTTCTTGGTACTTAAAATAATGTTTATTTAATTTTTGAATGTTGTTAATTTCCAGTAACCCAAAATTAGCCATTTTCCCCACATCAGTGGTGGTGGTCTTCTCTGGAGGCTACCATTTTGGATCTGTGTTCACATTTACACAAAGTAAACAAACTAAATATCTGTAGGTGACTGTATGGTGACATAACAGGTGAAACAATCAATGGTCCACATCATGTCGCCTAAAGTACATGTTGTGGTTCATGTAAAGACACAGAGTATAAAATGACTGTGTCAGATCGTGTACCTTTTTGTGGTTTTCTTAGATAAGTCTGATCCTATTGAGAAGACCAAGGTAGTGGTGCAGTTTCCCAGTGCTGAGAGATTCAAACCTGCTTATGTACACAGGTGGGTGATATAAACACCAGTCCCCTTGGCGTGTCATCAGTGTCTTCATTAGAATCTTTGTCGTTGTTTCATTTTTTTTTATTTATTTATTTATTTATTTAGCTTTGGGATGTCAGAAAACTATTTTGTCTTCGTGGAGACCCCAGTGAAGATCAACCTGCTGAAATTCCTCAGTGCCTGGAGCATCCGAGGATCCAACTACATGGACTGCTTTGAGTCCAACGAGAGCCAAGGAGTAGGAGCTTAATGTAGCAGGTTAAATATTTAAAACCACTAATCCTTCATCTTCTACCCTGGTCATTGTATTCTGTATATTTTTTTCCAGACTTTGTTTCACATTGCCAAGAAGAACCCAGGAGAATACATCAACCTCAAGTTCAAAGGGGCAGCCATTGGCTTGTTTCACCACATCAACACCTACGAGGACCAAGGGTTTATCGTTTTCGATCTGTGTGCTTGGAAAGGGCACGTGACAAACTTTAAACTGAGGATTCTCATTTATATTTAAATTGTGTTGTTCACTATCATTTTAACTGTAATCCTGTCACATAGATTTGAGTTTGTGTACAACTACCTGTGGCTGGCCAATCTGAGAGCCAACTGGGATGAGGTGAAGAAGGCGGCCATGATAGCTCCGCAGCCGGAGGTCCGCAGATACGTCATTCCTTTGGACGTGGAAAGGGTGAGTTACTAATCTAACTGAACAACATGAGCAGAGGTTGACCCACACGTGAAAAATCTACCGTTTGTTCTACCGGCATTTTCTCGTGAACATGACGTAGGAGGAGCAGGGAAAGAACCTGGTCAGCCTGCCGTACACCACTGCCACAGCGGTGATGCACACTGATGGATCGATCTGGCTGGAGCCTGAGGTTCTCTTCTCTGGACCTCGTCAAGGTACTGACACCACTGTCAAACTTCAGACACAGGATGTAAATAAATGTGACATCTTTAACCTTGTACATCTCTGTAGCTTTTGAGTTTCCTCAGATCAACTACAGCAAGTATGCAGGAAAGAATTACAAATACGCATACGGTCTGGGTCTGAACCATTTCATACCAGACAGGGTATGCTCACGAAATGCTCTTACTTTGAAATGAAGTTGAACAAATATAAAAGAGACTTTCTTTAACTGTTTATTTCTTACTGTGCAGATCTGCAAGTTGAATGTCAGGACCAAAGAGACCTGGGTGTGGCAGGAGCCAGAGTCCTACCCCTCTGAGCCGCTGTTTGTCCAGACTCCAGGTGGAGTGGAGGAAGATGACGGTTAGTCATAATATTAATAATAATAATAGATGTATTTTTATTGTCACTGTGAGACATTTTGTCCTGAGCACAATCTAATGCTATGCTGACAGGCGTGCTGTTGACCATCGTGGCGGCTCCTGGCACTCAGAGACCAGCGTATCTCCTCATCCTCAGCGCCAAAGATCTTTCCGAGATCGCCAGAGCAGAGGTGGAATGTGACATTCCAGTCACCTTCCACGGGCTCTACAAACACTAGAAGACACAGATTTAACGTAATGTCGAAGCAGTAAGGCTTCATGGGTCAATAAATAAAATGTGGCTATCAATGCTGTGCTATGTTCTAATTTCTGTTTATCTGGGGGAGATAAACGCAGGGGGGAAACAAAAGACTGCGTAAAGTTAAGATTGATTCACTATTGACCGACGACACGGCCTTAGTCCACGGTTCTGGGTTGTTAACTCTACGCTTCAGGAAGGGACAGACAAAGGGCAAACATTTCCTCCTGGCCCTAATCCATAGTTATGTCGTTGACAATAATCCTGTAGTCCAAATTCTTAAGATATTTTTGGGAGATTTAAGTTGTTGCCACACAAAATCCTATTACGGTTACTTTTAAACATTTGAACCGTGTCTGTTCTTATCGTGTTACTGAAAAGCCAGAGATCTCACTGTTAAAGCTGATTAACACAGAACAGGAGAAGTCGGCTGGTTTTTAATTGTGTAAAATCTAATCTGTTACTGTGGTGGTTCCCAGACAGGACTCCCACTTTGACTGTTTCACCCTTCACTCTAGACATGTACACATTTCTTGCCACTGAACCTTAGTTTAAACACTGTAGTGTGTAGTTCCTACAAAGCTGCTACTCTCAGTGAACATGCATCAAAAAAAATATGTGCTGATTGAAATCTGATTAATCACAGTGTAACTGTGGATTAATCATGATTGTTCATGATTAGAACACGTGTTAAAAAACAAAATGGCAGGTAGATGTTCACTGTGTTTTATGTCTGGGTTTTTTTGGCTAATGGCTGATGAATGTGCAAAAGTATGACTGAATTGTTTTGTTTCATTGAGTTGTCTTGGTCTTGGTTGTCTTTTGTCATTACTTTGCAACTTAACGTTGACTTACAGATTGTTTTGCAAGTTGCTTTTGAAACCTGGGTGAAGCCTTTGTCCTTGACAATATTGACGGTCTTCAATCTCTCACAGTCCATTTGATAAGTCCATCAGTCGGTTTGTTGGACATAGACTTACTGCTCACGACCTAAGGCTGGTCTGACACAAACTGGGCATCTGACCTGAAGTTGAGATCTTTGAAAACACATATTGGGTGTTTTTGTATTCTAATCATGTGAGGCTTCTGTGAAATGAAAACCTTTTCCCGCAGTGTGTGTGTGTGTTTGTGAATGACAAGCGGTGGTGTATTTGCATATGATGGCTGGACGGCCTGAATACAGTGTGCATCATTATTTGCATGCATTTACTCTGGTCTTAATTAAAATATACAGTATGTGGTGTGTGTGTGAGGTGTGAACGGTTTGACCTTCGCTTGTCAGGGTCCCTGGGGGATTTATCCTTTGCTTTAGCAATGAAACCTTCAGCCTATAAATGTTAACAATATGAATCACATGTTTCATCTCCAGCTACAGCAACACAAAAGCATGAAACATTTCCAGCCCAGCTTTGGCTCCATTGCCACATCAGTGATTACACACCACTAATGCTGTCACGTTTTCTGCTTCACTGCCAGATTTAGGGTCTTGAAGCTGAAAAACATTTCACCATTATGTTTTTCTTTAATCTTCCAATTTCGGGGCTACAGTTACAACATGTAAACATTTGTCCCACCCACAGTGCAGAGAAACAACATTCACATACCTCGAACACCAATTTTGTTGTTGTTGTTTATATATTTATTTTTATTTTTTTTTTTACACGAGGGCCTTTCAGCCACCCAAAAAAAAAAGACATAAAAAAGGTTACAAGAAATATTAATTTGTCAGAATAAAGAAAAAACACAGCAAAGTAAAGTTTTTAATGGAAAACATATCATCTCCTTTGTAGGGATGTGACCAAAGCAAAGTCTCACACTCAAATTCAGTGAGGACAGAGGTTTACGATGGGGAAAAATATTTTGTCAAAGTGAAGGAAAACAAAATGATGAATAATAATAAATTAAAAAAACCCCTTCAGTTATGTTTGTTATGACTGGACAGTTTTACTGGCTACAGCAAACTGACAAAGGGTTAAATCTTGGTGAAAATATTTAAGCAGTTTCTTAACTTTTTGAGTATCATTTAAACAAAGTAGCTGGATAAACTACGTCTAACTAAATGACACTTGAAAAGTCTGACAGTGGAAATTTAAGCAGCTTCAGTAGAGGTTAGAGTTCTTAGACACTGTCTTTAGTTCAACAAGCTTATTCATGATCAAACTTCCTTCTGTTCCCAGTCCTGTTAAAGACTTGGCCACAACTGCAGAAAGCAGCATCATCTTTAAAATAGTTTTATTTAAACAAACTGAATCAGAAAATGTGTTTTTTTTTCCTCAAACATTGAGCAAACCTCTGTCCCACACAAAGTGACACACAAAACACACGACAGTCACATTTTCAAGCAGAACAAAGTTTAAGGTTTTTACACGACTGAATCACCGATTTTCCATGTGTTACATCTGCAGGCGTACTTCAGTTAGGCGACTACTGACCCCTTTGAAAATATCTCTTACCAGCTATATGACATTTGCATCTCAAGAAGTAAAGGAATGAAGTATTGATAGTGCAAGGTTTGTAAGGTACATATATTAATAATATATTGTTTTTTTTAAGATACTTTCCTACAAGTAAAGTGCAAATACCTGGACAGGGATGAAAAGTGTGTGCAAGCGTTTCTAATTGTTGACTGATCCACCTGCCCATGCACGAATGAGCCCTTTACAGTGGCTGCCAGCTAGTTGACACACACACTCTGTGGTGACACAATCACGCGACACATGACCATTTCATCACTTCACGACTGAATGTATGACCTTAAGACGGGGCTACAGACAAACACCGTGTACTTACAGTATAGGCTTGATTAGATACGGTTTTGTGTGAAGACTGTTGCACTTTTTTTAAAATACATAATCCTCCTGTAATAAAGGACAAGCAGTTGGCTTTTCTTTTTTCAGCTGTGAAATACCACATTTTCTAAAATGTACAGCATAACATCGGGTCCTTTATGAGTGTGGAGGAGATCAACGTGTTAACATGTTGCAGAAACTTCACCTCAACAGGAGACTTAAATTTTTTATCTTGCAACACGTCTGAGCCTTTCGGTCGATAACCTTTCAACTCACCTGTCCATTAAAATCATGACTAATTGTTGTTGGAGGTGAAATGGTGGCAGGAGAAACACCACTGAGGCCAGCTCGAGTGGTGGCAATCACCCCCCCTTCCCCTCACTCTCACGGCACCACATTTGAAACTCAATATCAAAAACTTAATGCATTCAAACACAACCATGTGTCCACATGAGAACTGTTTCTCTGTGACTTGTGTGATCAATGTTTAAGACCAGCTCATTTAGACTCGGAAGGAGGGGGATGTGGGGGTTGATGGGGCAACAATAAGTGAGAAAAAGGTTTGAAATATTTCAAAAGTGCAATACAGCCTTCCTAGATTTCTCAGCTTCTTTTTGTACTAACAGAGGGGAGTTGTGGGGTATGTGTGCATGGTGAGGGAGGAGAAGGGGCTGGGTTTGACCTAAGCATGGAGAGGGGGGGGGGGATATCAGTTGGTCTCATAGGTGGAGAGCAGGGCGGCATCCACAGGCTCCATGCAGGAGGGGCAGGTGAAGGACCTCATCAGCCAGTCGTCTATACAGTCCATGTGGTAGATGTGCATACACGGCAGGAACCGGATAGGGTCCCCGTATACAAAGTCCAGCATACAGATGACACACCTGCAAACAGATAAAAAAATTAAATTATCAATCTAACTACCCAATATTTAATTCAAGTCAAGAAAAATAAAAGTAAAAATAGTTAAAAGTAAAAAAATTCTGTTATGTATATTTATGTATCCCATGGCCATTTATAATTACTGCTAGCATCTCCGTCTTACTGAAAACATAATAAAGTTAAATTATTAACAAGTTGGAATTTTTACAGTTTTTGTAACAGCAGTAGCACAAAATCAGATTCTAACTAAAGAAAAGAACATTTTTGATCAAAGGTTCATTCAGCCTGCTTGTTGGTGCCACGATAGTTAAAGTGTTTTGATCACCCAGACAGATGTTGAGCTCTGAATGTGGATCTACTGGCCTGAAGCCTTCCCCTGTATAAACATCAGACGCAGTAATACATTATGCTCACTCTCTGATCTTTTTCTCTGAGCCGTCTTGTCCTCCATCATAAACGCCCTTAGGGAGGTGCTGGATCAGGCCAATGCGCTGAGCAATGCGGATCTGCTCCTCCTCTGTCAGCTGTGTGGCCAGACGGGCCTGACTCGGTGTGGGGTGGTACATGGGCATGTGAGCCTGCTCCTGTATGAGCAGAAACAGAGGAGACGAACACCAAATCAGGTCATGGAGATAAAAGAGGGAATCAAATGTAATGCAGTTAATTGAATTTATTTGAATGGAATGTTAGAACGGCTTTTTGCTGGTGCTTCCTTGAAGCCTTTTTATTTATCGTTCCTAATCTTAGCGTTGTCATCTTGTAAGTTGTGCCAGCGATGATCAAATCCTTTGAAAGAATTCCTACTTAATAATTATATTGAAGTAGTCTAGATGACCTAATTTTGTTGGAATCATATCATTAGTGAACTTAGACATGATCTACAGGGATGTATATTGTCATTTAAATGGTTGAGAATATTTGTATTAATATTTTATGATGAAGATTGCTGTAGTCTGTCCCATCAGACTTCCTGCTTTTCCTATTTTATGATTGTGTCCTAATGTCCTAATAGCTGTATAATATATTCAAATTCAAACCTATTTTTTCCTTTCAACCCTGCACAGAAACATGTCCCTCAGCCTTAACAAAATGCTGTACTGCTTTTGCACAGTAAGCCACTGTCCAAAGAAATACAACACAACAACACAAAGGAGTCAGATCCTCAGTCCAGGACTCAGGTGTCTACTTACACCTTGAGGACAAAGGTCACTCTTTAGAAAATAAGAATGAGGCATTTTCATGATCAATAGTATACTATATATACAGTATGTATAATAGTATATGACAATAGTTCCACATGCAGACACACAGGAACACAACAAAGTCAATAACTCTCTCGCTATAGTGTGAGAATTCCATTAACATTACGACTCAGGTGAGACTTGAAACCGGGTCAAGACAGAGGTGGACGACCTGCATTGTTTCACATAACGAGTCTACACCTGGAGTTCCAAACCAGTCAGTCAGATCTGACGAGGAAGTTTCAATAACAATCCGGCGGTTCGGCTGCCAATTCAAAACATAAGCAGGAGATCGTCTTGTGCTTAAGATTAAAAAGATGTGTGTGTTTGGTTCTCACCTGATATGGTGGTGGCGGTTCCAGGTCAGGATCAGTCCCGTCCCCGAAACTGGCCCTATCTGACTGGGTCTCATGCAGCAGAGAGATGTCATCCGATGTTGGAGACTTTAGACAATTCCCCATTTCTTCTGGTCCCCACTCCAAATAAAACAAAAATAGTCTGACAGTATTGCTGCTAAAGTTGCTCTCGGTGGCTAATTTAGGGCAATTGTCTTCCTATAGTACTCAACAAATCATAAATAAACACCTTGTTTAAACCTTGTGTTTTACTTAAAACCCTCCTACACTAATGCCACAGTTAAGAACAAACATCTCAACTAGTTTGTCTTCATGTCTACAAGGAAAAACAAAACAAAGAACTCAGCGCTAGGGCTACCTAGCAGCCGAGCTAGCGACTTTTCTGCCCGACTTCCGATTTAAGTATCACCAACTCTGTGAAAAAGAATCGTAATTTTTACAAGATCTCAAATTTAATAGATTCTTACGTAATCGGAATGAGAAGTCTAGGAGGTGAATCGAGACGACACCTCTGCCTTTCAACTTAGTGAATTACATCATTCAGTTCGCTTCCCAGCTAACACCTTAGCTCTGTCTGAACCCAACAACATGTTAACGGTCCTTTGGATATGACGTAGACGCTTCTTTCCGCCATTGATTGGAGGATTTCTTTTACGTACTCGTAGCAGTGTGATAAGTGCCACCCATTAATGACGTCAGCAACAAAAACAAAACAAAAAGCTACGTGAGAATTTACAGATACTGCTTTCCATTACAATTAGCAATAAAAAATAGATAAATAATAATTAAAAAACAAAGACATGGACCTAAATCACACCTTACTCAGTCTAATTATTTTAATATTAACCTATTAGCTTTACGTCTTTAGTCAGTTAAATTATTATAGTATTATATAAAATCCCAGCTGCATCAAAAATTCGCATCATCTTTTTAAACACTCGATTGATTAATGTTGTTATACTTCGTTATTAGAGCATGCAATTCATAATGCATGCATGCTCTGACACATATTGCTTACAACCCATAACCAAATAAATGTAACTCAAAAAGATACGTAAAATAAACAAACAGTAATGTAAGAACAATGGCAACTGGAGGACACCTTTATTTATATACATGTATTGTACACTCAAAAATCCATAACTTAATTGCATTCCAGGAATTTATGATACAAATCTTCATGTTTTTGGTTAAGTGAGTTTCACAGAATTGGCCATTTCCGGGCGAACATAACAAGTACACAAATCTTAAGATCAACAATTTAAAAAAAATCCTTACCGTTAAAGCTCATCATCTTTTTTTCTAGATGTAACAAACAGAACAATTTAACTGTACATTATTAGTAAGTGTTAGTAATGATGATTTGTAAAGGGAAATTTGTCATAGAATTTCTACAGCAATTGTACAGTCATTGTCTGATAATGTTCAGATAATATTCACAAAGAAGAACAACTGAATTTGTTTTCCTGTTGATTCATGGTAAAATATACTAAAATCAAATGTTTAACATAACTGGAAAGTTTTTATAAAAAAAGGATGCAAAATGGGGGGATGTTTTATTGTTGTTTGAAGTGCAATTAGAAATTAGCACTGGGTGAAATAATAAATGACTATCAGTTCAAATTTATTCTATATTTCACAAGTGATGAGCAAAAACAAAAAGCAACGTGATGGAGGAATCAGGCAGTTTTCCCCCGGCAAATACATTCATACTGTAAAAAAGTCCAGCATTATTGGGTTTATGTCCACATTTTCTGGTACAGTATTAGATCACATTTTCATGATGGCTCGTTGACCTGGTCTAATAAATAGCAATGGCGGTGTGATGGCCACAATGTATTTACAAAACAAGCTATCTTTAGGAAAATGTAGTTACATATTCACACACCCCACAGACAAATACTTTTTACAGCAACACAGAATCATTTGTGAAACACTCTCAGAACTGAAAATACCTTATACTGACACAAATTAAACAACCCTCTTCATTATTTATTTATCATTTATATATGTTATATCCCAGAACTATTGGGATGCATTATTACTCTCTATAATCAAGTACGAGTCAGGAAATAGACCTTATTGTCGGTGTTCTCTGTGAATTGGCAACTACAGCCTCAGGAAGTATTGTTCAATGTTGTGTTGGGTTCACACTTTAACAAAAACAAAATGAACAGCTCACAGCCTCAAAACCAAAAAGTTCCACTTTTACCTTCTCCCTGCACAATGTCGTGTATAGCTTTGCCCCTTTAAACCTCTCTGGGATTCCCCCTCCTCTTTCATGGTGTATCTCCTGTAGCCCTAGCATCTATCATCCTCCTCTGTGTCACTGAGAGGATCACAGCCTGTAACCGAGGTTGTCTGTGCCAGACGTTTCCGAAAGTGTCCGTTGGGAAGCTGCCAGCCAGTTCGCAAACGCGGGCGGGCAGAGCTGACGGTGTTTGACCGTCCCAGACTGCAGGCCACAGCTGCCTCAAAGGTCAAGGTCTCAATTGGACCAGTGGGGTCTGGGCTGTGATCGTCCTCTTGTGAGGCCAGAAAAGGCTCCGACGGGTAGCGCTGCGGTGGTGACTGTTGCCGGTCGACCATGACCTGCTGCTCTTCTGGCGCCCCATCCTCGGATTCCCATGTGGCCTTGCCCCTCCTCACTGTTTGTGGGCTATCTTGTTCATCCTCATCTTCTCCGGCAGATGCTTGAGTGCGGCACACGAGTGGAGAGTAGGAGATATGAGGCCTAGATCTGGTTTTTGATATGGGTCGGCGGCCACTAGGGGTGCTGGACTCTGAGGTGGAGGGCACTGGACTTTCTGAACTGTTCCCCTGAAAATCAAAAGTACATTGAAGGTTTTTATTTATCTATCTATCTATCTATCTATCTATTTTAGGTTAGTTAACACATAATTAAATTACAAATACTTAAATTACAGCCGCCTGCAGCACTAGTTTAAATTTAGACTGTATAAACATCATCTGTTCAGAGACACTAAAATAAGATTCAGCCCTGGTCAATAGTCATGGGGTTCTAAAGACCCAGCCCCCGATGCCCCCACCAGGTCACTGAACAAAGTGTCTCCTGTCCTACCTGTTTATCTTGGGGAAGTGCCCTCTCCACACTGGAGGATCGTGATGGCTGCAAGCTTCTCTCCTCCGAGTTACAACGAGAGGTGTCTGGAGAGAGGAGGTGACAGCGCTCCTTTGACCTGCCACGCTCCCTGTTCCCCTGCTGCCAGTGTTCTGACCTAGAAACTAGTGAAGTGACAGTACAGTGTTTATCATCGTGACTTTATCAGTGTCAGTGTGAGTTTGAGTTAAACCAGACACACAGTCGTGGCAACAACAGATCAGCAGACCAACCAGCAGCCTTGTAGCTTTTGTGACGAGGTCGATACAATCGCTCAGGACTTTTCTCTTCCTCCCAAACACCGTTTACTCGCTCATCTCCAACAATGGACACTGAACGCTTCATGGAGCCACTTGACACCTCAGTTTCCTTAAATGTGGACACACAACAAGAAAAAAAAGCACACATGAGGTGCAAATACAAAACAGCATTATAAACACTGATAATAATAACATTTTGTTTTTATTTAATTGTGAACGTGTGCGTCAGGCATGTCATTGTTTGTCATGCTTAATCAAAAACGACCCTCCATAAGTCTAGGTCCATGGAAAGAAAGGCAACAGCATTCAAGGATCAAGGTTTTACTCTGGAAAATTCAAGACACACCATACCCTGGTCCATTTTTATCTCAGGATTTCATGCACGTAATAAAAGAGAGAAACTATGTCGCTAGAGCCCATGCAGTCAATGAAATCCATGATGATCCAGCCCTCTGAAGGAAAACATATATACCTGCAAATCTACAGTGAGACGGGGCATGGAGGAGGCCCGCACGCACAGGCCAACCCCCATTGGAAGCTCCAGTGTGGCCTTAATCCCCATACTGCAATCACCCACCTGGGTAAGTACAAAACAATAGAGAAGGGGGAGGAGAGACAGAGCACCAGTCAGGCTCACCCCTGAGCAAACCTGCATCTACACACACCGGTCCAGGTCAGGTGACAGAAGGGCAGCCATGCCATTTCATCGCTCAGAGTCATCTGTCATTGCCTATGTCATCCAATCAAAAGCCATTCCAACCAATCATGGACAGATCAACTATCAACAAGAGAAGTGACATCAGAGAAGAAGGGAAACAGATTTCAAGGAAAGGAACAGGTGATAGAAAAAAGAAGAGGAAAAACATTTTAACGAGAAACCACAGGCAAAAGATGCGACCCTCGTGTATCCATGCACGTGAATCCCGAATACATAAACAAATGCCAGTAAAGCCAGGCAATACAGTCACACATCAACAAGTGGACAGTCTGCCTTCTCCGTTCTGACCTCTACAGGACCAAGAAATGACCAAAGACAAAGGAGATTCAGAGATGCTGTGTTCTGTAAGGTGCTGAAAGAAATGTCACAGCAGTGTCATCAGCCGATCAGAGTTCCTTTAGTTTCTGTACTCAGTTTAAAAACACGCAGGATTAGGTTCAATCTGGACTTTTAATTCTGTGGCCCTGCTGCATGGCATACCCTGCTTTTGCCCACTGACTGCTGACATTTTTAAAAATGTGGCCACTGTCAGAAGTGTGGTACTAAATGGAAATAACATTTTTTATTATGAATTTAAAAACAGTTGTAAGTACTGCTGCTAAAGACATCTTTTTTATCAGCCTGTGTTGGCCTGCCTTCTTACCAGCTTCTGTTGTTGACTGGCATCAGCGTCGGAGCTCATCGGCTGCAAAAACAGCTCCTGTGGTGAGATCGGGCTCAGTGCCACAAAACCTCCTCTGACGCTGCATCAGAACAGAACAAACAAAAAAAACAAACAAACAATATTTACAGAACAACAGCAATGAAATCTAAGGAGGAAAGAAAAGACAGTTGAACATGTCTACACTCACAGGGCTGAACCAGCACTGTGAGCCATCAGTGGCAAAGGCTGGGTGTTAGAGAGAATATCCTCAGGGAGGGCAGAGGCGTCCAGGCGCTTGAACATCAGGCTGCTCTTCTGTAATGACAGACCAAAATCAAGTAGCATTGGGTTAAGTCAAATACTCTTTTTTTTCTTTTTCCGCGGTTATGAAGTGTATCTATAAACGAACCACAAATTCTAACTCAATTCAGCAACAAGAATCACTAACCTGAGCTTCCAGCTGCTGTCTGAGCTTCTTGGCTTTGTTCTGTTTGAAGTAGTCCATTATCATCATGGAAGCGTAGATCTTCCCAACTGTCATGTCTGTATCTGCAAAGGCCGTAAAACAACATTTACTTTTTTTCTGCTTGCTGCTCCACGGGACAATGAGCTTTTTTAACCATTCAGTAGTCTGACCTTTGTTGATAGGCACCAGTAGATCCAGGGTCTTCTGGGGGAGATAAGGCCAAATGATGCTGATCTCTTTCTGCAGTTCAGTATCCAGAGCAATACGATCCTCACCGCCTGTGATCAAACCACCATTTTTCATTTAGTTACTTTGACAAACACAACGTGTGTAAGAACTGTTGAAAACTGTTAATGCACATTTCATCTATAAACAAAAGACTAATCTGCTTTTATAATACAAGTGTGTGTGTGTGCGCATGTTTATCCTTGACACTGACCTCGTGCTATCTTAATATCCAAAGCTGTGCGGATGAGGGACATCAGGGTGGAGGTGAAGTGGACGCTCATGTCCTCGTCCACCGGCATGTTCATTAACACCAACCTCTGATGAAGACGTTTGGTTGTAAAGACACGATTGTCAATGTAAATTAATCATTTTTTTATGTATTTCTATACAGTAACAGTAACAAAATACTAACATACTGTATATATATTATTTTACCTTGTATGCAATCTTAGCAGGACATTTTTTGCCCAGGCCCAAAGGTGGCGACATGTGTGTTAACATCTCATACATGGCTGTGTAATGAATGCGACCACTTAAATAGAAAGGAAGAAATAAATTAGATCAATCCGAGCAAAAATGGAAAATAATAATCCCACTGGTTTCTATTTATTGCCTCAGTATTGTGAGCAGCATGGACTCTATGCCTCGGAATTTAACATTTTAAAGCCTTTGGCTGCCATCTGCTGGAAAACCCTAGGAACTCTCTGTTGGACAGCATGTAAAACTGTCTCTACTGTCTCTTAAAGTGTTCACTAAGAGAAGTCCAGCTCACCATGCCAAACGATCATACTCCCCCCAGATACGGACAAACTCATCCAGATGATGAGGGCCAAGAATTGAAGAGTCCCGTGTCAGGTACTCAAAGTTATCCATGATGACGGCCACAAACAGATTCAGCATCTGAACAGAAACATGGGGATTTAGAGGCGACAACAGAAACCAGAATGTGGAGAAAGAGCTGCTGTGTGAGTCCTACCAGGAAGGAGCTGAAGAAGATGAAGGAGACAAAGTAGCAGTAAGCAAAGTCTGTCCCACAGCCTCCCTCGTGGTCAGGGGACAAGGTGAAGGGGGCGAGGGAGGTGTCTGGCTCACACTCCTGACTTGACAGACAGGAGAGCATGATCTCCTGCCAGGACTCCCCTGTTGCACTCCTAGTGTATTCATCATGAACATACGGCATGAGGGAACATTAAGAATGTTCACACAAGAATGTTGGCAAATTTTAATCCACCCACCGGAACAGAAGCATGAGAGCACCGAAAAAAGTCTTGAAGTTATTGTGCTGATTGATGTGACTCTCGTCATTCAGCTTGATGTTCCCAAATACCTGTGGGAAACAAAGGAGTTCAGAAATCACATTGTCTCATCTTTGGTTAAAAGTAAATAGAACTATTAAAGGTTACCTGCATTCCAATAATAGCATATATGAAGAAGAGCATAGCAATCAGAAGACAAACATACGGTAGAGCCTGTGGCAGAAAAAGACGACAAAGAAATGTGATATATTAAATAAAAAAAACTGCAGATAAGACAGTTAAATAAAGATAGATAAAATAGCAGAATAGATTGTCTATGCCTTAAAGGATTGCACAAAGGTCCAGAGAAGTATCCTGATGGTGTAACCCTGTCTGAGCAGCTTGATCAACCTGGCTGCTCTGAAGAGCTTGAGGAAACTCATGTTGATGGTGTTCACCGACTACAGCAGACACACAAACGGTTGGAGAGAACCAGAGTGGCAGACAGAAGGGAGAGACAGGATGTAAAAACACAGATGGTCAAATTCATCACAACATGACTGGAGTTGTGTCTGGAGGCAGAGATCACAGCCCTACCATCCACTCATAAACAAGAGAAGAATGCAGCATTTGAAGCCTGCTGTGTTCTCTCTTTAATGTCACAACAGTGTGAAAACAAACAGTGTCTTGGCAGGAAGTCACCTGTAAATCCACTATTATTTCAGTGATGCTGCCAAGAACAGTGATGAAGTCAAAAATATTCCAAGTATCTCGAAAGTAGTTCTGTGGAAACAGAGGAGGTTTTTGTGATTTGACAAAGAACGTCAATGTTATATTATTTGTATTTTTCCTAAAGCTTATTTTAAAGCACACTCACCACAAGCCCAAATGCCATAATCTTGAGTATGCACTCCATTGAGAAGAGGACAGTGAAAGCTGTGTTCAGGTGTTTCAGCACCGTATCGTAGGCTGTTGGTGCCGAGTGGTACTGAAGAGGAAAGAAAAGGACAAGAATTTATATGAATGTATGGTGAATGACGCAGCATCTACAGTTTATGTACAGCAACGCATGGAGGGGAAATAAAGCTAATCTCATTGGCCAACAAAAAAAATCAAACATCTCCCATCATATTAAATAAAACCACAGTTGGTTGTAATGTTCTTTCTCACCTTCATCATAAGGACCACAGTGTTGAGAGCGATCATGACCAGCACTGTGTACTCAAATGACGGCGATGCCACAAAGTGCCACAGTCTGTACTGAAAGGTTTGTCTGTTCTGGGGCATGAAGCGGGTCATGGGTTTGGCACTGATGGCAAAGTCTATGCACGCCCTCTGATGGAGAGAAGAAGTAACAAGAGACACACAGGCAGAAGTGGATGATAAGTGATCCTCAGTTCAACAGTTAATATCTACTGTACATAAATACTGTATTCCACAGTATTTCACCTCGTTCTTTTCCAGACTGCACTCCTGAATCATCTTGTCCCCCTGCTCCTGGAAGGTGATGATGATCAGAGCCACAAAAATGTTGACAAAGAAAAACGGAAAGACCACGAAGTAAACCACGTAGAAAACCGACATCTCCATCCGATTGCCCCGACTTGGCCCCATGTTCTCCTCTGTCACGTCAGTCGAGTGCTGCAGAACCCTGGAAAGAAAAAGAAAAAGTCATGAACTGTGGGAAAACTGTGATATCCTACACGGACATGAGTCTAAGCAGACTCACTGAGGCCATCCCTCTCCAGTTGAGACAGTGAAAAGCGTGAGGAGGGCCCAGCAGACGTTGTCGTAGTGAAACTCGTGTCGCCTCCATTCTCTCCTCTTCACCTCCTTTTTGTCTCTACTGTAGTCGATGTAGTAGCCTCTGCAGCCGAGACAAATAATCCTCGGTTAATCCGGCACAGCGGACGTTTGCTGTGTTGTACCAACATTGTTAGCAGCAGTGTGTTTGTATACGACACTTACTGGCATTCCTTCTCTGTATTCATGGAGCTGTCAGTGCAGTAGAAGAACTTCCCTTTAAATAACTGCACTGCAATGACGGCAAAGATGAACATGAAGAGCTGGTACACAATGAGGATGTTGAAGACATTCTTCAGTGACGTGACGACACAGTCGAAAACAGCCTGAAGGGAAGGAAGGGGAAACGTAGGGTGAAGGAAATCAAGTTTGACAGACAGGTGGGAAAGTACTGGAAGAAAACTGACGTAGTACCTTGAGTTTAGGCAGTCTCTTGATGGTTTTCAGAGGCCGCAGGACTCTCAGCACTCTGAGAGACTTTATTGTCTTGATGTCTCTGCCCTTTGTGTTCCTGTAAATATATTAATATGTTTGTTAGGAGCAATGCCCAGTCTGTAAAACAAATGTACGAGGATACAACACGGAAAACAACCAGTGAAAAAGTAAAAAAAAATATGTCCACAAAAAGTACACATAAATAAAGTATGAGTACTTTTATTATTTAGCCAAGCAGGAATCTTTTAATAATTACGTCTTTAAAGTAAAAATACTTTTTTTAAGGTAATGCTGTTGGTTGTTTGTAACTGTAATTTTTTTTGTTTATTTTGATTAGTGCTAAAAGAAAGTTGTATCTTACTTTTGTAAGGCAAGAAGTTAAACAAACATTGATGTCAATATGTTGATATGATTCCTGTCAGGCTTTGCATTAGAAAATAAAATATGTCGAGTAACAAGGAGGAAATACATACAATACAATACACAAAAAAGACATTGCTAAATAAAATAAACATGAACAACGACACAGGTGATTGTATTTGACATGAGTACATTAAGAGTGACAGAAATGTTTACCCCAGCACATTCCTGGTTGCCCCAACAGTGACACAAATCCCAGGAACAACAGAGAAAAAAGTTGAGGCATAAAAAAGATACAGTGTGAACAAAGCTCAGAGGATAACAGTCATATTCACAACAGAGAAACTAACATATACAGTAGAACACTCCTTTACAGTACAACAGAGGGTTCGTTATCTGCAACACTCAGGGCAGAGGGGCAGAAATATTTTAACAATCCATTAGGGACAAACTATAAAACGTGTACCGTGTATAATTATTTGTAAAAATCAAACTTTTAATGACAAATATTCTTTGGAAATATATTTTTTTACAATAGTCTGATTTTAATCTGTGCATATTTTTGGTGAACTTGTGCAGTGCTTCAGTCAATATTATGGAATATTTAAATTTGACTGTGCAATCTTTTTTTTTTATTTCTGAAATACTTTGTATATATGTTTTTTGCAATATTATGAGTTACTCTACCCTTTCCCCGGTGCAGTGTTTCATCAATATCCTCTCAACTGACTGAGAGAATAATTGATTTTGTAGAGTGTTTTAAAATCAGCTACACTTTTTTCCCCTTACAAGTGGTAAAAAACTTTTATTTTGGAAATGCTGTTTCAGAATAACCCTATAGAAATCCACTTATTTTTCCCACTTGCGTCTGAACCTGAGTGGTCTTGAGAACACTGCACAATCACCATCGCAGCAGATTAAAACCTGCCCTCGCTGAAGAGGAGCGGACACACTTTGCTTTTGTTTTGAGGCTGTTAAATGCGGGGCTTTGATGGAAAATTGTTAATAACAAATAAGAGTTTGCTCAGAAACTGAGTCAGTCATTAGTCATCGACAGGCAGCTCTGTAAAATGACTCACGTTAGAGCAAAGGCAATCAGAGCTCCCACCACCACGATGAAGTCGAGCATGTTCCACATGTCGCGGAAATAAGAGCCGTCGTGAAGAATGAGACCCTGGTCAATCATCTGGAGGACACACACACGTGGCATGGACATTTAAAGAGGACACGTTAAATCAGATACCAGGAAAAAAAAGAAAAGAAAATAGAGAAATAGCATTTACCTTTATGATCATTTCAAAGGTGAACACTCCAGTGAAGACGTAATCAAAATAACGGAGAACCTGTATTTGAACAAATAAGTGTTAAAACATTATAATAATGCAGTCCACAGTTAAATTCTAGTCACTGTGAGTTTATAGACACATTATATTGACACACTTATACTATATTAAGTTTTTACACTTCCATATCACTGGAAGGATGTGAAGAGGTGCTGAAGCGGCTCCACTAACTCTCACAGCTCATCTCACTGCTGTGCCTGGTTAGAGTGTTACAGTGGAAAGTGTTGTTGGATGATGTACTGACATGAAGTGGTCATGCAAATACACCTAGAGGTGATGCTGGTGTAGTGCTGACGTAATACCCTGCCGTTTAGAGGGTCTCTGTCCTTCTAATCTTATCAGAATATTGTTACTAGTTAAATGCAACATGGTCCTTGTGATGCTAGATATGGATTTTACTGAAATCGATTTTTTTGGTCAAAGCTGCTTCCTTGAAAGCTGGCATGTTTTTGCAGTGTTTTTGTTTCTTAGCAGCTATTTCCCAGGAACTAATGTGAACAGTCGAATACACCTCACCCCCAAAACGATCATAAAAACACTGAGCCCGCAGACAAGCAGCTCTGATAAACTGAAAGTCCTCACAGTTGACACATAAATCAGTTCACTTCCTTAAGATGTCTTCATACCTGGGATGATAATCAACCAGGTTCTTGAAGCCAAAGCTATTTCAATCCATCATTTCCCACCTGCTCAGTCAGAAACTGATGGACCGTGCTGAGCTGAGAACATTTTAACTCTTTTACATTCTCCAAACAGCTGCTCTCAGACCCACAGCCTCACCTTGTTTCTCTCTGAGTTAGTGCAGACAGGATCCTCAGCAGCCAGAGCTATGCTGCTGGCCACGATCACCAGGAGGATGGTCATCTCGAAGTATCGCAGATTGACCACATAGTGGCAGATCCTTCTGATGCTGTGGACCAAACGTTGCTGGTTATGTATGTATATATGATTGAGCCAGTAAATATATTTTTCTTTGTCCTCATGCTTGATAAATTCAGCTTCAATTGCAATAATTGACTTACGGGTTAGAGGCCTTGAAAATGAACATGCTGTCTGGGGCCACAGGCTTGGGAGGAATGGGAGGTTCCTCCTCCTCTGTCTCCTCCTCCTCTTTCTCTCTCTGGTCAGACTGGTACGCCTCCAGCTCTTTACTGTTCACTGTAATCCAGACAGAGGTGCAGGAGGAGAGACATCAAGACACCCTTTCAGCAGCTACAACACACCGTGTCATGAGTCACCCGTACGAAAAATATATTACCAAAAGACCCATTGCCAGTGTGGCAGTCAGACGTCAAAGGCACCCACACACGGTGCTGATACAAAGTGACACTGACACTATGTCCCACTTCAGGATGCTCAGTAAATGAGTGCGACAGCAGTGGGAAGTGAACACAAAGCTACCTGTCATGGGGGTGAGCTCCAGCAGCGGTTGTGCCGACATCTCAATGATGACACTTCCCTCCAGGCTGGACCTGTTGTGTTTGATGGTGACTGGGCAGTTCTCAGCTTCCATGGCACTCACAGTGAACTCTGTGGCCTCTAAGGCCGCCTCCACTGGGATGTTTTGACACAGAGACTCGTACTTTTCGGCGTGTCTGCCTTCGCCCTGCTCCGACCAGGTGCAGTCCAGCAGCTGCTCACACTGAGGAGGATCAGGGAGGTCGGCGCCAGGAGCAACAGCTCTGACAGAAACAAAACATCAGGAAATGCTACTTAGCAGCGCTGCCAAACGATTGAAAGTTTTCATCTGATTAATCACAGCATAGCTGTAGATTAGTCACAATCGATCTTGATTATTGTGATGTTAATTACGCATGATTAATCGTGACTAATCCTGATAAATTAATGTTCCTAATTATGAACAGCTGGATAAATAACAGCAGGTGGATGGATTTGTTTAATGCCTGATTTTATTTGTGACTGATCCAAATGATGGATTTATGCAAATGGAAAAAATGTCAAGTTCAATTCAAAGTGTAGCTCCATGGAGTTGGTGTATTTTAGATAATACTGTGCATCTTGACATTGGCTTGAAGAACATGTCAAGAGTGGCTTTCAAAACGTCAGTGAAGTTCTTGTCCTCAACCACAATGATCTGTCTACAGTCTCTCACAATGCATTTGTGATTCGTGACAATCCCTGTGTCAGTCAGCTTGTCAGCCATAGACCTATTCACTGTTTTCAGCTCCTGCAGTGTGTGGAGAAAAACAGTGAAACTGCCGCAGCAGAACAGAGTAACACACTGCTGCACAGTTCTTACCTTTTGCAGTCCTCACCAACGTCCGCATACGGATTGACAATGCATGTCCCACAGTCGTCCTGGACAGACTCTCCTTCACCATCTGCTTTCTCTCTCTCTTCTTTCTCGTCCCTCTCGTCCAGTAGTTTCCTCTCCTGGCTCAGGGAGCGTCTCACCTGTGACACCTCATGAGGCGACTGTGTGCAGTCCAAACTCTTCACCTCGGTGCGAGCCTCACGGTGCCGGTGGCGCCTGTGCCGGGCCCCTTCTTCAGGGCCCTGACTGGGTCTGAACTTGCGGGCCATCCTGTGCCTGCCCCCGCTTGTACTCCGGTGGTTTGCCCCTCCTGATTTCTCCTCGCTCAGGTTCACCAGCGGCTCAGCCACCGGAGGCTCAGGGATGGAAATGGACATCGGGGGCTCGGGGAGAGGCATCCCAACGGACATGGGAGACTCAGGCAGGTGACCCGGACTGGCCTCTGAGGAAAGAGCCGGGGCATGGTGGGGCACTGTGGGAGTTTCAGCGGTTTCCTCCGTAGGGCTGTTGAACAACTCCTCTCTGCTCGCCATCTGACGGCGTTTACGCAGCTGGTTGGCTCTCTGCTCCCACACGGACATGTTGACCTTCCTTCTCCTCTCACGGCGGTTGGCGAAGGTGTTGGTGCTGTGGAGAGGCTGCTCGTCTGCAGCCACCGTGGCGCCTTCAGGCTCCTCTGGGAGGGTAGGACGACCTCGGTGGATCGCTCGTTTCCTGTAGAGGTAGGGTCTTCTTCTCCCACTACAGAACATAATAAACTTAATGTCACCAACGGGTCTACAGTTAACAATCACTGACAAAAAACACCAAGGCTAGTGAGTACATTCAGCATACCAGTCATGTCAAATGTAAAAATTAAGGCATGAAATACTTCAAGAAAAGGAGTGACCTTTTCTTTGAACTGATTCTTGATAAGTAACACAAAGAAATCTATCAACGCAAACAACAAAATATTTCTGGGTAAAAGGTACAGGCACAAAAAAATGTAATACCTGGGAGGATAAAAATAAAACCAAAGAAAAGTCAAAAGTGCAGGATTAAATGTGAATCACTGTTGTATCTAAAGAAAATTCAGTGACAAGGATTCATATAGTTATACTTACTGGGGATCAGATGCTTTTGTTGTCCAGGTGAAATGAGTGATTATTCGAAAACAAGACATTAGTGTTTTACAACATACACAGAACATTAGTCGTGACACGGAACAAAATACTGGTTTTAAAGGTGTGAAGGCCAGCAGTGGCCTTGATGACTGCAGTGACTTTGTGTATTTGTATTTATGTTTACTTTAGTTGAAAATGAAGTGAGTGTTTTCATCAGTGGCAATCATATATGTGTTTTTCGCTAGAACTCTATTTTGGTCCGTGCCACGGAACAGGCAAATTAACAAGACAACATGATGGGATCATCCAAACTCTGAAATGCACAGTAATATCAGTATCAAGACCAACATTCAGATGTGTCGCAGACAAATGATACATTCACTGTCAGAACTATAGGGAGTCAAAGGGGGGAGTCACAGTCAGCTCTACAGTGAAAACCCCAGGCCATAACACAAACCGACCCTGTGTCAAACTACACCCCCTGAGGTCAAAACATGGATTGCATCTCATTGAAAAGTATGATAAAAAGCCCATCTAGACCTCCTGGGAACACTATATACAGTGTATATATGTGCACTGTACATGGAAAACCAGGTCACCTCAGTCTGATGATGACTCCCGTGTGACTGTATTGATCAGATCTGCTGTCACTGTCATGCACTCATCAGTCTGAGAGGAAGAGGTTGACCAAATTCTGACACACGCCGAAGTGTGTCACCTCCCAGCAGAGTGACACACAGAGGCTCGGACGAGTACTGACAACCTCTGAAAAATGCCTCTCGCCCTCATCTTCCTCACCCTCCTCCTCCCTTTCTTCATCTACTAAATCACGGTGCTGAATGAAGGTCACCAGGTCACGGCAAAGACCAGGGATTTAACGATCGAAGGGAAGCTTCTGGTGACTGATCTGAGGTCAAGACACAGGGCTCTGCTGAAGCGATCCGTTCCAAGGTGTCATGCTTTGAAATTCAAGCACATTCAGAACACATTCATTACTGTGCTATCATTGCCTAACACATGCTGCTCTCCGGTTGTTAGCATTCAACATGCAGCTTCGGAAACCCGTTTGGTTTTCAAAAATCTGTCTGTGTCTGATTCTCAGTGACCCCACAAGCAAATCAAGTTTTGTTTTTAAATTCATGATCAAACTGAGAACAAACAGCAACATCAGTTTAAACCACAGCATCCTTATTAAATCAAAACATTAGCTTCATTTAGTCAGAATTTATGCACATTCTGTAAAAACAACAAAACAAAATCATGACAAATTGAAGTCATTCTTTCCTGAGACATGCTTTGACACTTGTCTCCTGTAAAATGTATGAATTTGTGTCTTACTCTGAGATCAGGCCGTCTCGCCCTCTGGAATATCTCTGGTTAAAGAACTCCTCTTCCTCTTCTTCATCCTGATAGGAGATATATATGGAGTATATTTAGTTTGCTTGTTGTGGTAGCACTCAAGAATTTCCAAAAGAAAAAAATGTGGTGTTTGAAGAGGGTGAGATTTTATCAGACAGCAGAGATTCCACCACACATCATAAATTAGTCGAAGATGGAAACGGTGCAAACCTTTGTCAGTTCCTGTGCGTTGGCTAAATTATCCACAGCGATGGCCAAGAAGACATTCAGAAGTGTGTCTGACAGAAAGGCAGTTAAGTGTCCAACAAAACAACTATTTATTTTGGATGTGAACCTCCCAGAACTTGTACCATAGACCTAAGGTTGCCACCAATACTTCTTCAGATTAGGTTTCAATAAGGGAACAGTACAATGAACAGGAAGGCAGTGTTATATCAGTCATGAGGGAAATATAGTGAACTGTGTGGAACTCAAACTACAGCGTGGAAATCCTTAGATCCCCTTTTATTTACTTTTCATTAACACAAGGAAATTCCATTCCAAGTTCAAACAACGGCTTTTTTTTAGGTTTCAATATTGTGCTCCGATGATTGGTTTCTTCTTAGCTTTTTCTTTCTTTACCGTTAAGGTAAAGAGCTCACTCCCACACATCAGTCATAAAGGATACAATTTCCAAACAGCGTGAGCACAATGAAGTAGATGGACGACCACATGCCATACTGGACACCTCCCTGTGAGCGAATCCCATTGTACATCACCTCGTTCCAGTCTTCACCAGTCAGAATCTGAGAGGCGAAAACATATGACATTCAAAATTAGTACTTATATTCTTCACAAAAGAACGTGGATCTAAAAGAGCCATAAAGATGAGATGTGTTCTATGCCCACAAACCAGCAGAGGATATGTTATTAAAATGGCAGCTAGCTGGAGTAATTACAGTCTACGCTGATCAAAACACAGAGCAGTTGGTCCTGTAGCAGATCTGATGTGGGTTTGTTCACGTTTCACTCGTCTGATATTCATGTGCACATATGTGTGCATGGATGAGTGGGATGGTAGCGGAGGCAGGGGGTGGAGAGCGAAGTTAGCGGAGTTGTTTAATCCTCGCCTGGGGTGAGAAATATCCCAGGGTGCAATGTGTCATGGAGAGCTCGGCAGAATGAGGAAATCTGTGAGAGCCAAACCTGAAACACTGTCATGATGGCAGCTGGAAACGTGTCAAAATTGGTGGGAGTGTATTCTTCAAAGATGAACCTAGAGGGGGAGAAAGAGAAGGCGGGGTCAGAGATAGAACAGGAGAAAAAAAAGACGTGATGGAAGGTGAGCTATTTTCAATCTGACTCTCGATTCACAGGGTGAAGACGATCACATACACCGACCGTGAACTTCCAATGACCTTGGTTCTGATTTTAAGACAAACACATCATCATCGCTGCTGCGCCTCAGAATTAGATTATTATAAGTCATCACATCCTTCTGTGTTCATCTTTATGCTCCATCTTTCTCGTGCACCTCTGTTTCACGAGGTTCCTCGAGGGCAGTTCTCAGGTGCCCTGTGATAATGTGCAGACTGCCAATGACACTCCTGTGTAAAATATGGCATGGCTGTGACAGTGTTTTCCATTTTTACACTGATGAAAATAAACGACCTGTTCTAAAATTGGCGCAGCACTGGCAGCACCACCATCATGGTGCCGTTTTATTTTATATAACAATTTAAAAAAAAGTGACATTTGGTGATGTAGTTCTGAGACAGCTCAGCCATCACCTGTTCACCAAAATGTATTTCAAATCTCCTTTACTCTGGGGTCAGAATGAGGCTGATGTTGATACAGAACACGGCTGCCAGGCTGGTAACAAGGTCTAAGAATAAACCCACCACAAAAACACTTAGATCAGCTCTATACTGAGTTGTCTTATAATTCATGAAATGTGTGGAGTTGTGAATGGATTAATTAACAATTACGCAGGATTGTGCCTTCCCAAATCTTTACTCACCTTCCTCCAAAAAGCTGCATCCCCAGTAGAGCAAACACCACAGTAAAGAGGAAAAGAAGGAACAGCAGACTGATGATGGACTTCATGGAGCTCATGAGGGACACAACCAGGTTCCTGAGAGAGGCCCAGTACCTGATGGGAGGAAATCATACAGTCAGGAGTCTTTTTTTGCCATTTCTTAATTCTCCAAAATGTGATGTCACCTTACTTACTTAGTGATCTTAAAAATTCTCAAAAGTCTGAGAGCCCTGAGAACACTGATTCCAAATGACATGCCGGGTCTGAAAAAGCCCCAAACCACTTCAAAAATGCTGCCAACAATAACCTGTGGAAGACAGTGGACGAATAACATAACATGTCATAACTGAACAGGTGACACTGAAAGCAATGTAACTTTTTCTCTAAAAGTTTCAGTTGAATTGTCAGGTCAGATTTCATGGTGGACAATCTCACCCCACAGTCGAAGCAGTTGAAGGATGAGTGAAAGTACAGCCGGAAACCCAGGCCATAAATTTTCAAGAACATCTCGGCCAGAAACAGTCCCAGAAAAACGAATTCTGCATAGTCTGGAGATGACAACAACAGCAGTCAAAGAAGAACATGTGAGTGAGACAAAAGAAATTTACAAAATGAGTTAAAGATGAAACCCACAGAGGAAGATGGTCAGCCAGTCGGGCTGGTTGTGGTGGACGATGGCCACACAGATGGTGTTCAGAGCCACCAGGCTGAGCACCATCAGGTAGAAAGTATCAGTCTTCACCATACGACGGATGGAGATGCGCAACATTCGCTCTTTGCGCCGCAGATAGGCCGCAGGACCACGACGGCCGCTGCGGAAGTTCATCCTGGACCGTGACATATCTGAAAAAATATTTAAAAAGAAGCAAAAAGAGTGAGTTTCAAAATGAAAAGAAGGAGAATATTGGTAAACACAACCGTCACACCAACCTAGAGCAGATTCTAAAACTTTCCTGCAGCGCCCCCTTTTTTAATAGAACTCCTGCTGTCTCTTCATTCTGGACACATTCATTTTTAATTTCCAATTCAATTTCCAAATATTTTCTAAATCAGTGGTATAATATAAATATGAAATGTGAAGTTTATTTGCCTAGCTGGACCCATCTGCCTCCCAGCAGGGACTTGCCCCCTACGTTTGCCTACAATATGTGTGTTTCTTTTTCTTTATTTTTTTTTAATAATTCTCGAATCGCCTTTATGTTTTTATTGCACGCTGTAGTTTTAAAGATTTGATGCAAAATGTTTTTCTTCTGCTAACATCAGCTGTGGTGACATGAAGCTTTGGCTTAAATTACTACGGAGGAGAACTGGACAGCTTTCCGGATTTGCTCAGGATGCACATGGCTGGACCGTGGAGAACCCAAGAGTGGGGGCAACAGTGCCAAGTCAAACTGTGTTACCATTTGTTACAATAAATGGTGTAAAACATTGTTCCTCACAGGATTAAGACCTGGGATCCACCCTTTATTTTCAGATTATGGCAGTGGATGTAGTAAAGAGCAGTGTTGTACTCACTGTCTGTGTACTTCTCTTCTCCTGGTGCTCCTCTCCTTGCACCAGTCTTCTTACTCCCTCTCTTTAAAACTGCAAACAATGTAGAAAACCTGATGTTAAACCTCAGTGAGACTTGATGCTCATTTTTTCCCTCAACTCGACTGACGAGGTTTCTTTCAATTTATTATAGTTTATTAAAATGCCCACAACCTTGTGGACAACATTTGTAAGTTTTGCACTGAAGATAAAATTGTGTTGTTTTATTTGATTCTGCCTCTGAGGCACGTTGTGGTTACAGTTATAATTAGAAGTATTGTAGATACAGGTGTGAGATGAAGGTGTGATGGTGTGAACTCACCATCCAACGGAGATCTTCCTGAATTTTTGTTCTCCTCTGCAAGCATCACCTCCTCTGTAATGCAAGGACACTAGACAGTTAGGTACACAGCTCTATCACATATGAACACGAGCGTTTCAGTGTTCAGTATTGAATTTTATAGAACGTCAGCAGCCATTTTAAAGAGTTCAGGCCAGACTAATGGAGTGCTGCCGTAGAGAACTACTACATTAAAAATCCACAGAGATGAAATCCACTGGTCAGTACCTGCCCTGTCTATCCAGGCTCGATATCCGTTCAGTTCTCTTTCTACTTGTTGCTGGCGGCGGAGCTTCATGAAGGCGCGTCGATTTTCCACCCTCTCTCTCTCCTTGGCAAATTCTCTGAGGTCATGAATTATTTAAAAAAAACAGCTTTCATAAAACACAAAACAGGAAAAAAACCTCTGGATCTACAGTGTTGTTTCAGTGTAACTCACCCAGACAAGACTCCCAACACCAGGTTGAGGACAAAGAAGGAGCCAATGATGATGAGAGGGATGAAGTACATCCAGTTCCATGTGGTACCCAAGGCGTCGTTGGTCTGGAATTGACAACAAGCTGTATGACAATTGGTCCGATCTCTTCAGAGTACATTCGCCCGTTGGATTGTTGTGCTTACGTTGTAAAGAACAGCCGTCCATCCTTCCATGGTGATGCACTGGAAGACTGTGAGCACGGCAAACAGGATGTTGTCAAACTGCGTGATGCCGTCATTGGGCCCAATCCAGGTGTCGTTGCAGTCGTACTTCTCTGGACAGTTCCTCACGCCGCACGCGAAAGCCAACTCTGACGAGTCAACAGTCTCGTTGTCTGAAGAGAATAGAGACGGTGGTGAAGTTCAGCAACAATTGAAGAAAGCTGCGTAAGATCTGATTCTTCAGGTTTAACATGTGATCATTTCCACAGCCTGTTTATGAGACACATTCATTTCTCACATCCCATTTATATCATTTAACATTACAGTGCCACCATCAGCCGTTTTATTTTTAATTTTGAGATTATTAAAACAACAACTTTTGACAAGCCATCAACTAATTCAGGTTTTATATTTTGAACATGTCTTTCTGTTGCTCTGGGCAGTGACTGTAAATACTATGGTGTGGTGTGTGATTACAGAGTGATGTTGTTGTAGTAATTAAGCAGCTGCTAAATAAGCAGTAAACAACTCTAATAATACCACTGAGCTCACGGCTGCTGCTGCTGCTGCTGCTCTACTGTAAACTGTGACGACTTCAGTTTCTCAAACACAAACCCTCACACCCTCTGGATGAAAACATGAGTGCAAAAACATGACAATAAAAACACCTGTCAGCAAAGATGTCCTTCAAAAACAATGGTGGGTGTAATTGAACAGCTAGGTGACCAGGACTGTTTGAACGGTTAACTAATGAACAGTCTCGGTCTGGTTATTAGGGTGTGGGTCGTACCGAGGATGTCAACCGATGGCAGGCAGGTGTGGTGGAGCTTCCCGCTGTAGAACTCCAGGCCGATGATGGCGAACATGAGGATGGCGAAGAACAGCAGTAGACCAATCTGCAGCAGCGGGATCATGGCTTTCATGATGGACTTCAGCACAATCTGGAGGCCTGGACATTTGGTGCAACATTCAGCGCACGTGTTAGTACAACTTCAGTCAGTCACTGTTGAGTCATCTCCTATAGTATGTTATATATAATATTCTCTGTAAGAAGATTCACTTCATCAGGTTTTACTGCAGTGCTAGCCGTCATATAGAAATGTGAGCTGGATGTCCTTCATGACTCAACCCTCTCTGTGTTCTACCAGGGTTGGGTTCTGGTGGGCAAAGTAGGTGGATGTGAACCCAGAACCTGCAACCACCGACACCCTCGTACTTTTTGTGCAATACAGTGTTGAGGGAACCGTCGTAGATGAGGGAAAGAATGAGTAACTGAAGCCAGTAAGTGACTCACTGGGGATGCCTGAGACAAGTTTGAGAGGCCTCAGCACTCGAACAGCCCTCAGGGTTCGAAGGTCCACTGGGATGTTCATGTGGGCACCAGCAGTGGCCAAGATCCTGGTAAAGAACACACACAGACAGGTATACAAACACAACAGTGACTATTATCGTCATTATTTTAACTCACAGCCGATGATGACCCTTTCTTTCTATTTTCTCGTCCACGTCTTCCAGATGTAATAAAAAAACGGAGCGTATGTGGAGACGAGGTTTTTAACTGATAGCGTTGAGTTAAAGCCGACGTGTTGTATATGGTTAAAGACAGAGAATGTACATTGTGTACACCTGGCAGGCATCTCCACTCACATCTGCCCACACACATCGATGTCCCTCCACCTACGCACCAACTCTGAAACCCAGCATCAGAGACAACACCAACAGGCAATCTCTCATAAACATCCACCACAGACAGGCCTTATGGTGGTCTCAATTGAGAAAATATAACCTTCAATTTTATTTATTTATTTCATTAAGGCTGTATGTTTCATTTCACTCCATTATTAGCAAAGCAAATGTGATTTATGCTTCTAGTCACTGAGTATCAGGTCTCTGGATCGGTACAGGTTTTCAAGTCTGAATATCAGATACAGGTAACCTATAGTTACTGTATATGGGATTGAAAATGTGTTCGTGTAAGATAGGAGCAAAAATGAAAGGGAGAAACAGAGAGAGAGAGAGGGAGGTAAAAAGCACATGGCAGGACTGCAAGTGTGAGCCCCCGCAAAAACACTTCTGAAAGGAGTGGGAGTGAGTGAGTGAGTGAGTGAGTGAGTGAGTGAGTGAGTGAGTGAGTGAGTGAAAAATACAATATAATATTACACACTACACAAAAAATCCCCAACATTTTCATTAATTTATATGACAATAATTCAATACCAGGGTCTGATTTGGTCTGGACTGACAGTGAGAAAACCTGGGACCCTGAAAAAAGTAAAGCTTTACAGATAAATAAATGAATAAATTAATGATTCAACCAACAAATTAAAATATAGGCAATCATTCCATGAACGTTGAAACTGGAGGCAGTGAAAGACTAGATGTCCCTCATTCAGACCTATGGTCAGTTTAGAGGGAATAGTGAATATTTCTGTGTGGTTTTGAATTTTGGGAGGAGAATCTAAAATCTGGAGAAAAAAAAAGTGAGAAAATTTCAACTACATACAGACCAGTCGTGACCATCAGGGATTGAACCAGCGACCTTTTTGGTGTATGGCAAGTGCATCAACCACTCTAGCCCTGTATTTAAGACCTACAGATATTTTCCTCTTTGCACTTCTGTACGTTCTATAAAAATGAACCTGCCTTGTGTGAGTCACTTTAACATATGCCAGGACTTGTCTTTTTACATTATGCTAGAAGTCTGGAGAAAGAAAAAAAAAAGAAAAATGTTATAAGCTAGAAGTCTGGAGAAAGAAAAAAAAAGAAAAATGTTATAAAAAATGTCACTTTACATTTTACACTTGCTAATTCTCACAGAGACTTCCTTCAGCACGCTCCTGCTGAGCTGGCAGTAAAGAGAAGTTAGCGTTGACATTGAGAGGCTAATGTTAAGTAAAAGCACTGCTGCGCTGCACTGTACCAAACCGGCTGTTGGAGAGGATGAATTCATTACAGGCAGAGAACGCAGCCTCTCCCACCTACACCTACACCTACACTGAGAACACAGCCAAAAAAAATACAGTAATCAGCAGCCTCACGCCGCTCACATTACAGAACGCTTCTGCAAACACTAATAAGCAGCAGAATCAACAGCAGTGTTACGCTTTAACAAATTAATGTTAGAGGCAATAAGACACCATTCATTTAATGGTGACGTTGATACGGTCCTGGTGATTTGGGGCATTAAAAGGTTTTTGCCTAATAATAATAATAATAGAGTGAATGACTACCTGGGAACGCGCCTCAGTGCTGGGATTATTTCACTCAATAGCACATAAAACACAGTGATTATGACATTTTTTTTCATCATGTTTTTAAATAAGATGAATGATTGGATAGAAAAAAGGGCAATGACAGTGAGCATGGGGGGGGGGGTTGATAATAAAAACAAAAATCAATCAGTGCTCAAACCCTCAAAAGTGTGATTCAATGGCTTTGTCCAAATCAAAACCAATCTGAAAATCTATAATATATTTTTGACGGTTCTAAAGTAACTGTCAGGTCTGTCTGTGTCTCTGGGGTCCATTAGTTTCATCACCATCACCTGTGTCCTGTGGTTCCCTGTTAATCAGTCTCACTGGTGTCACCTGGTGCCCTGTGTTTATCCACCTCTCCCTCACTGTGCCTCAGTTTTGTTGGGTCATTGTTGAGTTGTTCTTGTGTATTTCTGTGTGATGATTGTTCTCTTGTTCTCCTTGTGGTTTTCATGCCTCTGTTCCTGCCTGCTCTTTTGTTCCAGTGAGTTAAGACTGTATTACCTGCTTGGTTATTATTTGGAACTGTTAAATAAACATCTAAACATTTGCTGTTCTCCAGTGTGCTGCATGTGTTGTTGAGCTGTTGACTGCTTATTACTTTTTCTAATATTTACCCAGTTTTCAGACAACCTTGTTCTCGGCTTCACCTTGTTTTTAAAAGGCTTCTAAGGTGTTTTGTCGTTTCTGTATCTGTGGTGAAATTCAAGGTGCCTGTGTCTGTGTAGTTGAGTACTTAAAGATGCAAACACAAACCCATGATTTGTGTTCATGTATTTCTTTCTTTGTACCAGATGGCTAATGAGTCACAGACCAACGCCCACCAAGTTGTTATTCATTCAGTCTAAAGAGCAACCATTTTGGTAGAGTGTCACACTTTGTGGTGGGGCAAAAAGGGGGGAGGGGGAGCTGACACCACTAACACATCATGACAGATAAGCACCTACACACACACACACACACACACACACACACACACCTCCCTGCTGATTCTACTATCTATCATTCATTCAATTTTGAAACAATACCAAAAATAGTTAGTTCAAATTTTGTATTACAGCAGTTTCACACAGGCCGGTCAGGGATGTGGGAACACAGCTCTGGTCTATATTATGGTAAAATAATGCATGTGTAACAAAGGGCAACAGGTTCAGTGTCGTCGCCTTCATAACTGAGTAACACCTTAACACAGTCGGTGCGTCAGTTCCACCTCTGCCAACCTGTTTGCCTCAGGATATAATTGACCATTTTAGGAATCTCAGAGAATTAACTTGGTTTGTAGGTCTTTTTTGGGGCTTTTTTACTACACACTCTTCACTCAGATTAAGGATTTTAATTGAGATCAGTGTCCCAGTAGATCTTCTGCTACCAATTTATTAATATGAAATGGAATGAATGCCGCCAGCATTGGCCCAATGGCCTGGATTTGATTCCCAAACGGCCTCTGTGACACGTGTGTTTTCTTTTAAGTCTGACTTACTTGTACTGATCCGGCAGAGTGAGAGTGTGTGTGTGTGTATATGTGTGTGTGTGTGTAAAGAAAATGTGTCAAAAGATTATAGAAAGAAAACCAGGTTATCAGTTGCCATTTCCAGCTGTGGCCAGATTTGGACCAATAGTCTTTGGGCTGCTCAGTGACAATTTTACACGGTGGACGAGATGATCGATACCATGTATTAGACACTTTACACTGATGTGATTGGCCTAAGGACAGACAGTGAAAGGAGTGGTCAGCACTAATGGCTAGAACAGGCATGGGCAAACTAAGGCCCTGGGGCCGGATGTGGCCCGTTCAGCTTTTTAATCTAGCCCACCAAAGTTTTCAGATCAAATCAAACAGGCAGGGCTTCTCGAGCTACAAGACATGTATTGTGGGTTTCATGTTGCTAGGCTACAGAGAGTGGTGGTCTGTCATCTGTAGGCATGAATGATTACTAGCCAATTGGAGTTTTCTTTGTCTGACTCTGCATTTCTTAAGTGACCAAAGACTGGGCCACTCTGAGGCTGTGTCTGGGCCACGTGCACTACATGTGGGCTTGTAACGTGACTGCTGAACTGTCCAGGGTTTGCCCCGCCCTCACACAATGACTTCTGGGATTCACTCCGGCTTCAACGTGACCCGAGAAAGACGCTAAAATGAAACAAACACCAGCTGTCTGTCACCGATCGTTCCCTCGTTCTATTTCTATTTCTAAACATACCGTTCGCCCTAATGTACACTTTCCAGTAGATGTTGAACGTAAGTAAGTGTGAAGTGAACTGCTGCTCAACAGTTACCGCGGCGCACTCCGTCTTCAAACGTGATGCTTATTTATGTAACGGGCTGAACGAGAGACAGGAAAACAGAAAGAGAAAATAAGAGATAGAGAGAAAGGATACAAATCAGAGAGGAAGATGTGGGAGTCAGGTTGAAATGAGATGTCAACATGCCAGCAGCAATCTTCTCTGAATGTTTAAAAAGTCTCCATGAAGCCAAACAGCACATCGTAGCAGTGTGAGAAACGCTTCACTTTTGCACACAGATCTCAGTAAATCCAATCGTCTCACTGGAAACAACACGCTCTCACACTCATTATGTTTTTCCTCCTTCGTGTTTTTTTCTCTCATGCATCATTTTTTTTTCTTTGCATAACATCTCCGGCACTGCATTCACATTTAATTCACAGAGGTCCTGGGGGCGAATCTGAGGCAGGTTTTCGACACAGCTGCCAATCCACTTATCCACCCACCTATGGCTGACTGCAGAGCCCCACCGTGCTGTGGAAACACACACTTTGCTGCATTTATGTTTTTTCTCTTACTGTGGACACGTTAACGTCGTGAACGTTTCTGCTCCTGAACACAGTAACCGCGGGTGATTGGACAGCAGTCTAGACTGTTGGGGTGTCAGTGTCTGACCACGACAATACAGTCAGGTCAGACATGAGGTGTGACGTGAAGGAACTGCATCGTCTCCATACATGAGAGGAAAAAAATAGTCACAGATGTCGACACGTGCAGAGTCCAGTGCACGACGGCAGAACCATAACGTGACAATCAGTGTTTGAAATTAATCATTTGGTTCAGCCGTCACAGCCTGAATAATGAATACTCTCACAATTATGTGCAGGTTTTTTTTTTTTCTCATTCAATCAGTCAGGTCTGCAATTCATCACCACACACACGTACACACAGACCCTCTGTTACATTTGGCATTTAATTATTAAAAGTCTTGTATTGCCTAGACTATGTATATACATATATAGGTTAAAGTGTAAGGAATAGGTGTAGGTAAAAATCTATAGGTAACATCAATATCAGCTTTTGTAACTGGTGCATTCGAAAAAAACGTCAGATCTATATCACTCACCCACTGAGCACAACTATGAAGTCCATGACGTTCCAGCCGTTCCTCAAGTAAGAACCTTTATGGAGAACAAAGCCCAGGGCCAGCAGTTTGATCCCTGCCTCAAAGCAGAATATCCCAATGAAGTAGGGCTCAGATTTCTCCTGTAGTTTTAACGAAGAGAAGAGGTTAGGAGTCTGCAGAGACAAGTGAGCAAAGTAATGGACCCACGAGGAATTAAACTGGTCAAATAGCACACTTCTGCTCGTGAATCCTGAGTTTAACGGCTTTTGAACAGATTGTGTTCTCACCAGTCGTTTTGCCATAGGGGTCTTATCTTCTCCAGGCAGGTGCTGCTCCAAAGCCAGGACTACACAGTTGGCCGTGATGGTGGCCAGGATCATGTACTCGAAAGGTGTAAAGGCCGCAAAGTTAAGGAAAATACTTAAGCACAAAGATATCAAACTGGAGACAAACCACGGTGAAGATGATTTCTTCACCTTGTTAAATCCACAGAGAATTTTAAAGTCAACTGTCGTACAGTACATTTTAAAAGTACATTGTCTTTTCTACACCATACAAAGGACTTTGACTAGACACCAAAATAATCCGATTACAAGGGCAAAACGTAATATTTGCGATACAATGCATATTTTAACGATTATTTTACAGACTTGCATCATGGGAATCACTAGTCTTGACCACAGATATAACTGTATTCAAGGTCATGTACTGTGTTTATATCAGAAATCTAAAAAGACACATTTCTGTGGCCTGGCAGAAAAAAAAAACCATGCCGATGCATGGAGGGTTGGTTGAAAAAGCTTGGTTCTCATTGGCTTGTAGTGAAAGCGGTATGTTGGAGAGATTGCAGTATCCATGGCAACATGCTTTGAAAAGTGCTTTTCATGAAAATAATAGAAACAGGTGAGAGACAGAGAGAGAGAGAGGTAAAGAGAAAGAGAGAGAGAGAGCGTGTTTCCTGACAGGGCCTGACACAAACTTCTACAAACATCCTCTCAACTTCCATTTCTATAATCACAGCAGAAGCAGAATAACATGATGTACAGTGATAAACCTCATCTGTCTGGTTCCTGTGTCTGAAACACACAGCAGCCAAACAGATTCTCTTTGTTTTAAAGACAGTTTGTCAACTTTTAGTAGACACTTTCTTCAACAAAGTCTGAATCACTGCACCAGCTCTTCTTTCTTTTTCTTTTTTGTTAACCAATAAGGAATATAGCTACTGCATATATGAGCCAATCACATGAACTGAATTGAATTGAATATTTTTAACCCATCATGTTAATCTGACAGTACAAGGACAAACCATAGAGCTTTACAAAAACCCACATTGTTATCATGTTCCCTTGCTCCCCCCTCATCTCCCCCCTCAGTCTATACAGCTTGCCCCTTCTCTCTCCCCTCTCTCACTCTCTCCCTCTCTTGCTTCCTCTTTCTCCGTCTCTCTCCCTCTCTCTCCAAATCTCCACCCAAATGGACCAGGCAGATGGCTGCCCACTATGAGCTGAGTGAAGCTCACTGTTTCTTCATACATTGCCTGTCTTTTTGTATGATGAAAATGTGCATTTTTGTGCATTTGAGCAGTGTTTGTGAGTGATGACCAGAGACAGACCTCAGCTCTTACTGGGCCACACTGCCCATTTCCATTTGTACTGTAAATATATTGTAGGACATGTCCATGTGTCCCTTGACAACATGTTCAAACCTTATTCACTTTGAAAGTGAAAATCCATCAACCGTTGCAGCAAATCGATAGATCTAAGATAACTGCTTCTGAATCACCTTCACACAGGTCTGCATGCGTTTCCACATGGCTGAACCACATGTGAGTACACATGTGATTATTGTGCCCTGGCACTTGTCTGTGTGGGTGACTTTGAGTCCCTCCCAATTCCCGTGAGGCCGCCGCTCGCTGTTATTAATTTTTCTGCCATGAGTGAAATGAGGTCAGTGACTCACGGAGGAGCGCTCAGATAGAAGCCTGTGGGACAGACACACTGTCTCACTTTGGCTAGTCCACAGTCCCATCACTGGCTGAAGTAAGAAGAGTGAGGAAAGTGGGAACATAATTAAAAGTCCATGACCACACTGTTGCTACCTCTACTACCTGTTACCGCACGTATGTCATTAACAATGTGGCTCCTTTAAATCACATAGTGTCATTACATACAGGGGAAGGCGGTAGCTAGTACAGTTGTCGCTGCAGTGCTTGTAGCACTGATAGAGAGACTAATATATACAGTATATATATGGACACCACTGCTCCAGTAAATACTGCTTTTGCAGCCCACAAACCACCACGGTACACCTGGCCAGCCCTCTCCCACGTACCTCTGCCTCTGTGATACCCACAGTCCTACCAGTGGCCAGCTAGTCCTGACCACTTCAGCACCCACACACCCACAGAGCTGTGGTCAGGCAGGCAGAGGGAGACTGGCACACTGCACTAACGGAGGTGTAAGACAGGAGGATCAGTGGGTAGATGTGGCAGCAGAGTGATGTTTTTGTGCTATGAAAACAGTGAATCAAGCGCACGCTTTAACTTAAAAAACCAACCATGGACATCATTAGTTAAGCTTATTATTATTATTAATAATAAAAAATGAGATTAACCATTGAATGGCTCTTAGTCAGAAAAAGTGGTGTGGTACATGGTATATGCACTATGGACATCTAGAATATGCTGTGGGAAGGATGAGTTCTGTGATCATACTTGTTAGACCTGTAGTTCAGTGGAAGGAAAGTGTTGGCTGCTTCTGCAGCAGGAAGCAGAGAAGTGCTGCCTGGTGGATTTGAACTGACTCCTACTCATGGCCAGGTTCATATTCCAATGAGCACTAAGGCAGCAGAGATGTGCCCACGTGCCACCCCCACACTGAGCAGAGCTGCTTTGTAACGTTCAACACTTGGTAACTTTCTGTCTTCTGCCCATAAAGCATATACAGTGTATGAAATGGATGGAGTCATCCAGGTCTGAAAGGGAGCAGGAGGACGAGCAAGTAGAACAGAAGCAGAGGAGTGGCTCTGACTGTGTTGAAATGTAAGTCCATGGAACACGGAGACTTTTCAGACCAGGTCCTGGGCATCAATCAATGTGTTCCTGGTATCTTTATGGTCCAAAACTGTCTGTTCTAATAGTAAAGAACATCAGACCAATACATATTGACACTGTTCAGACATAAAAAGATGATGATGCAGTGCTGTTGACTGTATTGGGATCCTGTGCTGGCACTAGTTGACATTGTGTTTTTCAAAAGTCTTGGACAACCAATTTCTTTTCTCTAAGTACCAGGGTGATTTTCTACCAATTTCTTTTCTCTAAGTACCAGGGGGATTTTCTTCTAAGTCTAAGGAACTCTCTATAATCCTGAATATAAATATTTAGTTTATTTAAAATAATTAAAAACCTAATTTTTAGTGTACAGAACTAACCTAAACTAAAAACCTTATGGTTTTAACACTCTAACAAGTATCGTTAAAGTGAAATTAAAAGATGTCTGGTACTATATGTGTAAAACATGTATTTACTGTATATATTGAGTAATAATCAGGATCTGAAAAATACTTCATAAGTACACAGTGTTAAAACTAACAACGTACTGTATTCTGAATGTCCTTTTTCTGCCAAGTTTTACATTGTGTGAATAGGAGTTGTATTTCGCTGTCCGTGGTGCTGAATTCAGCTCAGTGAGCAGTTCCAGTGATTCACAACAGTGTGGGCTAAAGCCAAAGGATGTCATGTCTAAAAGAAATGGACCAGGCAAAATCAAATAACATAAGTGAAGCTACAGAGTTGAAGTAACAGTCTGGGCTCAGGAGTAAGTTGTCTGAATGGAAGTCTGTGGAAAATCAGCTCCTTCCCACCTAATGTATTATATTTAAAAAATCACTTTCCTGATGAATTCTTTGCCTCTTCAAGCATGACTTAATTGTTTGAGAGTTGTCAAGGCAGCAGTGATTAACAGGTGATGCTTTGCGGTGTGGTTGTGGTGTGGCCAGGGTGGGTCAAACATCCTGGAATAGTAGAGACCCTGGCTTTTTGATGATACTTTAATGAAATTAAAGGCAATGGACATAAAAATGAATGCATGATATTTGGCTTCCATTTGATTGGAATTATTACTTGTAATGGTATTTGAAATTATCTATTTTTTTATCTAAAGTAATTTCATAACCAATAAGGAGACTTCGATATAGATAGATAGATAGATAGATAGATAGATAGATAGATAGATAGATAGATAGATAGATAGATAGATAGATTAAATTAACTTAGCAGTGATTCACAAAGTTAACTGTTGGCCCCACTCTGTGACAAAAAGTACCATAAAACAAAAACAACTTTACGCACGGAACTTTTTCGGATCTTTCTGGAAGGATATGGCCACTCGATGATCCTCCTGGCATACTTCCTGATGATGTTGTCCTCTGCGAAGATGAAGAGCGACCTGTTGACAGTGAGACAGTTCTGTCTGTGAGGGACCGGGTTGTACAGAGCCATAGTTCTGGCCCGCTGAGCGTTGGCTTGTTTTATGGATGCCGTCAGCGCCGCAGCCGGGTCCTGGTCGTCTCCACCGCGCTCCAAGTCCACCTCCCCGGAGTCCATGGTGCTGGGAGCGGACTCGTCTCCAAAACGAGCCATTCTACAAAGAGATGAGGAGACGGATGGCCGACTTAATGCACGGTTTAATGCACTGCTAGTGAGGACAAGATGTGAAGTAGAGTTTTTTGGAGGGGGAGAAAATAGTCCACCTTTAATCCACTGTCAGCTTTTGGAGCACAGAATTCTCCACAGAAAGTTGTAGATTTCAATCACTCCATATCCACGGAACAAAAACATGAAACCATTAAGCTTCTTTAAACCATCAAAAACATCATCCTTAAAGTCAGTACTTTTTTTGTTTTCGGGCTGTAAACACTCAGCATCTCTGTCATCCCATCAGTTTACCCGCGCGTCAAAATCAGCTTTGGAACTTTTGGCGTGTGCGCTTCAACACTTCGGCAGCGAAGGAGAAAAAAAAAAAAAAAAACATCCAACCAGTTTTATTTTCCCTACCCTTCAGTCAGCTATCAACATCCAATCTGGGTTTGATCTGACAGACCGGCAGCATCTACTGCGCTCTCATTAGACGGAGAGATCCGAGGCAAATGTTGGCCAACTTTACGCATCTTCCAGATCCCGTAGTAAAGGAAGCCCGGAGCAGCAGGCTGTTAAAACCGCATGCAGTTCACTACAGACTCTCTGGGATTGTTAGCTCTCACAGTCTTTTCACCTGCAGGAGAATGATTTCGCCTCATCAGCGGCAGCCCCCTCCCTCTGAAACATTTCATGATGGCGATTTAAAACATGCATCTGAATGGAAGCTGCCGAAGAGGAGGGACATACATTTGTGTTTCCATAGCAATTACAGTTTGCTGGACATGAACAAAAAAACGTTTCTTTTTTTCTTTTTTTTTTTTTTTTTTTTGAAAAAATAAATCCCCTCCAGCGGGCTGTGTGGGTATGTGTTTCAAAAACATTTAAAATGTTTGTGGGGGCTACGGCAGGAGGGGTGTAAATAACATTTAACAATAAACAGACAATGGACAGAATGGATTAGGCACAGCCGTAAGAAAAACATCCACATAGGAAAGGATCTTTATGTATGAGTGTGACTCATTCTCTCTGTTCAATTACCAGTGGATGGACGGAAAGTGATGCATTGTATTTAGTATTTACTCCAACTTGGGCAGAGTCAGACTATTAAAACACTTAAAACTGGGTCATTGTTCTAATATTGGAGTCAAATCTGTCAAAAATAGAGCATGAAATAGATCTTATAGGGCTGCTCCCTTTTTTGAGGGAGAGGAGGAGAGAGAGGAGCAGGGGCTTTTTCACACTCGGTGCCACAAGTGAGACCTCATTAGGCAGGCGGGCTCTCTCGCTCCATCTGCTGCTCTCTCCCCCTCCCCACTGTTTCCTGAGGATGACCACTTCAGCCCCCACAGACAGGACATTATTCAGGCGGGGGCTTGTTTTACGCCTGGAGCTGCTATGTGTCACCAATAAAAATGAACCATATCCCACTTGAAATAATGATTTATAATAATACCACTGTACTGGAGGCAGTAACAGCAGTCCTGGTCCAAGTGCATTGTGGGGATTTTTGCCTGGCAAAGAGGCCGTACTGGGGGATGTGGTGGAAAACCTGTTGAAATGAGTAATGTGATCAATACAATTGTAAGAAATATCAAAGAAATAAAAAATAATAAAATTAAAAATTGAATATAAATCGAGCATTAAAGCAGGGTTGCTAAAATCCTGGCCCTGGGGCCACTTCACATTACATATGAAGTCAGGAGTTACTGTTGATTAAAATAAATTCAGAAATGTTTGTGTCACAAATGTTGTTTAAGCTGCAGCTGCAGGGTCATCAAACGTGTGACATATGCATCATAACAGCAACAAATGCATCAGTAGGCGCTCAGTGCTATAGTATCCATAGTAACCACTGACACAGATATGTCTACTGTACTGTATATATCCCATAAGTTAACACAGAGCCAATACTGATGATGATGAGAATTCCTCTAAAAACATAAGAAAATGATTTTATATTGCATTTCCGTTGGAGAAAAAAAGTGAATCCACCGAGGATGGAAAAAAAGTAAAAAAAAAAAAAACCAGCAGTTTTTAGTTGTTGTGTCAGTTTGTCAAGGGTTAATGAAAGTATCTGTACAGTAGGTAAGAAATGAGCTCACATTCACTCTTACATAAGCTCTCTCACTGTAGAAACTCTTCTACATGTATGTTTCACTATGGAGGTACTGGGGGGGTTTTCTGTAAAAGAGAGAAACAAAGTAGGCTCTGTGTGTGTGTGTGTGTGTGTATGTGTGTGTGTGTCTCCAGCTCTTGCTTTACTGTTGTTTCCATAGCGACATTATTCTTGCAACTCCACTCCGGTCTATTCATTTCTGCCAACAAAAGGCAGTTTGAACAATGGAGCAACGTCTTCCTACTTTAATATGTTTATTTTGACACACACCTGCGGACAAACACACACACACACACACACACACACACACAGGATCATGACACATCCCCATGACAGAAACAGGCGGTGCTACCTTTACACACCGTCCTGATGGTGTTGATATATTCTGCAGCACAGATGCAGTGTAATTAGGCAGGACTTGGGTTTTTGTTCGGCTTTTGTTCACAGCTTATTCAAACCTTTCTAAAAATAGCCGTGTAAGCAGTGGAAAGGGGGAAAAAGAAATGTGAGAACCGTCCTGCTGGACCAAACTCTACACAAGCAGAACTTCAGCAGACAGGAAGGTGGCGTTGTGTTCTGCAGGAAGAAGAACTTTCAGCAGCAATGTGCATATGTACATGTATGTCCGTAGTTTATGGAGAATTCAGCTACAGGAGCACAGGACAGGATGGAGCGAGGCTGCAGGTGACACATGCTGTGAGTTAAAGCGTTAATAGCTGTACTTTGTGCCAGAACTCTGAAGAGCATTTATATAATTGCAGACAGGCTTTCAAACCACACTGAGTGGAGTGGTTTTTAGCATTTTATTTCCCCTCTGTTCCCTAGCAACAGACATCCCCTAGTACTGAGTTATGTCAGTTTGATTCAACCAATAACTCCGTCTTAGAGCATCACTGTGTAGCGTCAGTTAGCACAGAACATTCTAATCTCTGCTGAGGTTTTCACTTTACACCTGCAAATTTGCACCGAAAAAAATTGTGTTAAAAAAATGCAATTGAAAAATTGTAGGGTTTATTTTTATGTTAGTTTGTTTTTTAAATAACCTAAAATATCTACATGTGGTCGTGCCGATTTTTTTTAATTCTATGTGAAGATTTAAATAAAAAAAATTATATTTAACTTTAAATAAAAAATTGCTGTAATCTGTTTGAGTGTTCGAACTTGAAAGGCACCATGTGTCCTAGCTACTGTTCCTCTACTTTGATTCCCTAGCATCCCCTAATGGACAAACAACCACAATACATGCTGTCTACTGCTTTTAGCAGAGTATTTAACCGTTAAGCAAGTTAAAAATAAACTGAAAAAATAATATAGTCTGTAATGTTCATTTTGTACTTTTAGCTGACCTCAGATCAGGATTATTTTTTCCAATCTTAACACTTTAAACTTAACACTGCTTTTTGATTGGTTTGAGAGCAGATGTAAAGGTGTCTATGAGACAACTTATGACAAGGTATTTATAATACTGTCACCTTTTAAAAATGTGGTCTAGTTTAGTTGATTAGTCATTGATTAGTGAGCTCTGATTAGTCATTGTTGCCCCTCTGTATAGACTGACCAATAATAAGGGAGGAAAATGCAGAGAGGTCTGTTGCTGTACATGAGAATCCAGAGAGAATGTCAGTGAAGTGGACGTGACGTGGGTGGACGAGGTGCAGCTTAAGGTAAAGAGGAATCAGAGGCTGGAGAACAGGGGTGGGGGGGCTCTCTGGTGGGCACGGGGGTCATGGTGATGGAGCACTACTCCACATTCAAGTGCTGTTAAGCAGGTAATCAGAGTGATGTGGCTCCTGAGTTCAGCGGTTCTCAAACAAGCACCCTCGGCCCCGCCATTAATAACATAATCCAACATCTGATTTCAGTTTCAACAGTTTGTTCTCTTTCATGCAATAAAAAAAATAAAGATCAACCAGCGAGAGCTGCAGAATATGATTCATCGGTTGAACTATGACTATTTCCACATCAAAAGTATTGTCACACATGGAGCATCCTTTACAACAGGCACTCCAAGTGTAAGCAGAACAAAAACAAGTGTTCTGTTTCAAGCTATTGATGCCCATCATCTAAAACCCTGTCTTTACACAGTGCCTCACATGAGCACACTGTACAGTCTTTGACCGTTGTAAGGATGGAACGTTAACCCTCTACCAAAGAATCCTTTTCTGAATCGTGGGGAAGCTGAAACCAATCACAGCAGGCGAGGGCGGAGCTACACCCTGGACATTTGGACAGTCCCAAGGCCACACTTAGAGTGTCCCCTCCATAACTGTGGTTCCCTGGACATTTGGACAGTCCCAAGGCCATAACTTTGGTTGTAACACAAAGGAATAAATCATAGCATTGAAAAATGAAAAACGACATGGGAGGTAAAGATGCAGAGAGTGGAGCTGGAGAAGGTGCCTGTGTCTGAGAACCCCCGGGGTCGACCTTTCAGAGCAGCTGACGGACTCACGCCAGTTAAATAAGAGGGTGCAGGCAGGCGGGTGTGGGTGGAGATAAGTGTCAGGTGAGATGTTTAGAAAGCAAAAAAAAAGATTTACAAGACGTCAGTGGAAGCTGCCAGTATAAATGGTAAAAGTACGTCAGTGGAAGCTGCCAGTATAAATGAAGGTGAAGCTGGAAGGCAGAAGGAAAAGATCCACAAGAAGCTTCGTGGCCTCAACGAAGAAGGACAAGGTGATTGGATGATGAGCCGTCAAATGAGGAATAAGAAAAGGAGAAAACATGAGGTTTTTATTGTCTTATAGCGCTGTGCTATAAGTCCTTTTGGATTTCTCTATGGCCTGGTTGACAACCAGTAATTAAATCAGCAGAGTGCGATGACTAATGTATGGTCTCTGGTGCATTGTGCCGTCATTCAGCACCACTTCAGTCACTGTTAGATGTATGACTCTGAGATTTTCTCACTAGTTTCTGGTTGACTTTGGATATTTCTGTGTCCTTTTGTGACGGCCACTGACTGACGTCTCTGTCCTTCACACAAAACCTATTTTCACTACAGCGTTTGTCACCATGTCATTTTTTGTTTTGGGACAAAAAAATCATCAATAAAGGATAAAAAACTGTCACACAAACAGTTGTATATATTTAAACTCTAATGTAAAAGTCCAGCTGTATAGATGAGAGATTTCAATGATCACATCCAACCTCTCATAAAAACTCTTATCACTTTTGTCCAAACACACACATTTAACACACTTACAGGTACAGCTTCAAAAGACTCCTTCCCCTCTGTTTTGTACTTACTCCCACTCCTTCCTGCGGGCCTGTGGTGTGTTCTGTATTTTGTGAGCCTGGTGCGCCATGATAATGTCTTTCTGCTCCACCAGCCCCCCTCGCCGCCGCAGCATACCGTGGGGGCTCAGAGACCCCGAACCCTGATCGGATGAGCCATCCTCCTGCCCGTTGGCCACGTCAAAGCTGGCCGCCCGGGGGGGCAGCGCCAGACACTCTGGGACGGAGTGAGGGACCTGAAGAGAGCAGGAGCGAGCTCCCTGAGCCAGGCCGTGACGAGCTGCTGGGCTGCTCTTCCTCCAGGCCTGGGGGTCTTGGGGAGACAAGGCGGACTGGACATGTGTCTCTCTTGCATTAACACAGCTGGATGCAGACAGGAGGCTCTGGGCAGACGTGACGGAGACGGACTGGTCTGAACTGGACAGCATCTCTGCAGAGGTTCAGGGATAGTTCTTTCACCATAATGCTGCAAGGAAGCAGAAAGAGAATGAAACATTAACACAAAGTATAATATACTAAAAACCAAAGATGCAGATTTATGTTATAAATAACATTCATAAAGACCAGACTAAAACAAAGATTCTAGGTTCAAATCCACCTTCTGCCCTATATTTCTTTTTATCTTGGTTTCCCCCAGCTCACCCACCCTGCCCCTCACCACATACACACCTACACACACACACACACACACACCCATTCATTAGCAATAAGAGACACTTCTCAACTCTTGAACAAATCGGTAGACCGTTGAAATCCCGCTCCAATGCTCTCGGTGGATCTGTTCCCTGAATTATTTCTGAATCGTAATGAACACCTACAAGTTTCATTTAATGAGATTTACATGTGCAGCGGTGAGTCCAGGTTTCTCACTTTACTATCACTAATATTTTACTTCAGTCACGTGTTGTTTTTAGATAGGCTAGTATTATATTTTATATATATGTTATTTTTCTTATTATTTATTATAATAACAATATCCTGACAAACAATCAATTGTCAAAAAAAATTTAACAAGCCAGTGAGGTTGAAGGCCAAGATGCATTTAAGGTGTTGGTTCTGATGCTTGATTTTAAAGATTGAAGGTCAGAGGTCAGAGTAGGACTTTTTGTGATGATGGAAACATACTTAAAGATGGTCAGAGGTCAGAGTAGGACTTTTTGTTCCAGGAGTGGGCGTTGTTTGTGAATGTGTGTGTAATGGCTTTTGTGACTACACATAGTGTCATGATGGAAACATACTTAAAGACACAAATGTTGAAAACCAGCGTTCTAAGTCGTGTATTTTGGATGTATTATTATTATTATAGGGGGGGGGGGTTGTAATGAATATCATCCCACATGGGGCCAGTGAAATGGACTGAAGGTCCGCATGTGGATCAGGAGCCAAAGGGTTGCAGAGCTCTGGTCTGGGCACCATGACCACGGCTGGATTCAAATCTGCCACCTTGTGGGTGAAAGACAAACTTCTTCCCCTTTGACCAACAGCACTGACATGTCTCACACACAGTGATGTCAGACACTCTAATCTAGGTGCTGTGGTGCCAAAAACAAAAACAAAAAGCTGAATGCTGCCCTTGCTCAGCTGCGCGCCTCACTGTGCGTCTCTGAGACAAAGACATGTGGGGGAGATGAACTGAGGCGGTGCGTTCAGGAACAGGGACGCGGCTCCTTTCAATGAGCCGTGGCCGCAGGTAGGAGACAGAGAGTGGGAGAGCAGAGGCAGAGGCAAAGGCA